AGAAATATAAAATTCCAGATTCTATTAAAACTTATGTGAAACTTAAAGATCAAATATATATGTCTGATAATTTGCTATTTTTAGAAAACAAAATGATAGTGCCAACAAAACTTAGAGTTGAGATGCTTAAACTTGTTCATGAGGGCCATTTAGGCATCGAAAAAACAAAAAACCGTGCCCGGAAAATTTTTTATTGGCCAGGACAGGCCTCAGATATTGAGTCCTTTATAAAGGCATGTAAAGTTTGCGAAAAGTTTGCTAAAAAGAATTCAAAAGAAACACTTGTGCATTATCCGCTTCCTACTAGATGTTGGGAACGCGTTGGAACTGACATCTTTACTTATGGCAATCAAAGTTATGTAGTGTTGTTTGATGTTTTTTCCAACTGGTTAGAGCTATTACCGATTGGTGATAAGAGTGCTGATAGTGTTATAAAGCAACTAAAACATGTTTTTGCCCGATTTGGTCCACCAGACTTGTTAGTATGTGACAACGTACCATTTAATGGTTCTAGATTTAAAAAATTCTCTCAAGACTGGAATTTTGAAGTGTCTTACAGAAGTCCTAATTACCCATGGTCGAACGGGTTAGCTGAAAAGGCTGTTGATATTTCAAAAAAATTGTTAAAAAAATCGTTGGAGAGAGGAGAAGATCTTGAATTAGCTTTGTTAAGTTACAGGAATGCGCCTCTTAAAAATATGGGATATTCTCCATCTCAATTTTTAAACAGTAGAATGGCAAAAACAAAAATTCCAATCTCAGATGAATTGTTACAACCTAAACTTTGTGAAAATGTTATCCCTAAGATACAAGCTAAGCGTAATGCTTATGAGTCTTATTATAATAAGACGGCACAGGATTTAAGTGTTATTGATAAAAACTCTGATGTAACAGTGTATAATCATATAAAAAAGTATTGGGAACCTGGTAAGGTTTTAAAACAGCATGACACTCCTATAATGTGTTGGATTCCACTGGCAACATCATGAGAAGAAACAGAATTGATTTGAAACCTTCACAAAATGAGTTTAAAGTTGTTCAAAATGATTTTGAAAATGAGATAACTGATGAATCAGTTACAATTCCTAGTATGCCAACCACTAGTCATTCAAGTTCGTTTAATTCTGATAATGATGCCAGTTTTAAAAATATTACTTGTAAACCTGAAGCTATAGACTCTAAGGAGGTTAAAAGTAGATCAGGTAGGATAATAAAAAAACCGAATAAGTTAAATCTGTAAAGAGGAGGGATGTTTAATATAGTAGGCCCATACTGTGGCCTGTAATTAGGATAATAGGTCTAAGGGAGTAAAGACAAGGATGGCCACTTGTGAGCCAGCTGTATATGGTGTGCTCCTAGAATTTGATTAAAATAAATACTTAATTTTGTCTAATAGTCTAGTTTTATTGGATCAACACAAGTATTAAACATATAGGAAGATAATAAAGAAAAACAGTGAAGATTGGTTTAATCAAGAACTCTATAATCGGATGAAGGAACGTGATAAACTATACCAGAAAAAAAAAAGAAATCCCTATAATGCAGACAATAAACAAAATTATAAAATTATGAATTAATACGTGAAAAAGAAGATAAAAGAAACAAAAAGAAAATACTTTAAAGAAAGATTTTCAAGATCAGATCCTAGGGGAATTTGGGAAAATATCAACACAATTTTAACAAAAAAAAAAGAAAATTCAAGAGAAAAAAATTGAAAAACTCCTAATAAACGATAAAGAGATCTTCCAAGAAAAAATCATATGCGAGGAAATGAATAACTTTCTTATAGAAATCGGTAATTCTTTGGCAAGAAAAATTCCAAGTAGGAAAGTTGAAAATGAAGTATTGAATCAAAATTCAATGTTTTTGGATGAAAATACATTGGGCGAAGATATTGCAGAAATTATTAATAATCTTGATTCAAAAAAAACTAATGGTTATGATGAGATTTCTGTTAAAGTAATCAAAGAAATTAAGAGTAAGTTAACTCCAATTTTAGAAAATTTATTTTTTTTAACATTCAAAACATCAGAATTTCCTGAAAAAATGAAAATCGCAAAAGTAACGCCAATTTTAAAAAATGAAAGTTCAGATAATCCAAACAATTACAGACCTGTTTCGGTACTACCAGTTTTTTCTAAAATAATTGAAAAAGCAATGTATAAACAATTATCAAATTTCTTAGAACAAAAAAAAATATTATATGATGAACAGTATGGCTTCCGTGAGTCTAAAGATACAGAAACGGCTGCTTTGGATGCAATCACAGACATACAAATTAATCTTGATAACAACTATAAGGCTTGTCTTGTATCTCTAGACTTAAGAAAAATGTTTCATACTGTAGATCATAATATATTATTGAAAAAATTATATAACATTGGAATAAGGGGTAAAATTCACGAATGGTTTAAGAATTATTTGAAAGATCGGCAACAATTTGTAAAAATAAATAAAACTCAAAGTTCTTTAAAAAAAATAACATGTGGAGTACCACAAGGTTCAGTGCTTGCACCAATATTATTTTTAATATACATCAATTCGATAGAAAAATTAAAATCAAATGGTAAAATACGATTATTTGCAGATGATACGACAATTATACAGGGTGTATATTTTAAGTGATACCATTATTGCTATATCCGAAACAGTAAGAGCTACAAGGTCGGTTGAATTAGAAAAAAGTTGCCTTTTTTGATGCTCATTCAAGACTTTTTTACAATGTTGCCAAATTCCTTTTAGTTTATTAAATACACTAGCGTTTAAATTCTGGTACAGGCAATTCGGTACCGACCAATAAAAACAAAGCGCTTTGACGTTACATTTTAGAGGTTATGTTATATTGTTATTTCTTTTGATTGCCGGTCGGTATGTGTTTTGAATTTTATATTTTGACGATTACATTACATTGATTATTTATATAATAAGGATTACCTACATACATGCCTATATGGCCAATTTTGAGTGCCAAAAATCTTTACGTACGTACCTCCACCAAGAAATCCTTGAGTAATCATGAAAGAACATTGTATAATGTGGAATACGTTAAAGTTCAAAATTCATATTATGTTAGTCCTCTGTGCAAACATCATTTCCAAAAATCCAGGCTGTTTGAACACTTCAATGTTTCAAATTCATGTTCTGATACCTCTGCAAATATATTATGTTGGTTCTTGAAGTGTTCAAACAGCCTGGATTTTTGGAAACATTGATGTTTGCACAGAGGACAAACAATATTAATTAATTCCACATTATGCAATGTTCTTTGATGATTACTCAAGGATTTCTTGTTGTTATATGATTTGGGGCAAAGTTCACAAGTAAACTTTCGTTTGGGTAGTGGAGCTAACTCTCCAATTTCATCAGGATGACTTTGTTTGATATGTCTCCTAAAAATATTTCAAATAAATATTTCTTATTTCACATAATAAAAACAGACCACGCCAGAATTTACCTTAGAGTCTTAAATTGGAGGTACGTACAGGGTGAGTCACCATATTTTGACACCCACCTGCAGCCGTAATTACAGGTGATAGGTGAACGGTGTAAATACAAAAGTTGTAGTATTTCATCTGAACCGCCAGAATTTTCAATTAGATTGTACAAATGAGCAACAAAAAGTGGAAAAATATGTCAATGTTCACTTTTTTCAAATGGAATGCCCTTTATTTTCTTTCAAATTCTTAAAGTTCTCGTTTTTCTGATTCAGATTATATAATATGTTAGTGTTTCTTTCGATAGTTTTGGAAATATCTGGAGTTTAGTTATTCAAAAAGAGTAGTTTTTTGAATAAATTTCACCTTGATTTACCTACCTGTAACCTGTCGCAAAACATTGTGATACGTGAATAGATCTTTGAATAACTAAACTCCAGATATTTCTAAAATTATTGAAAGAAACATCAACATATTATATAATCTGAATCAGAAAATCGAGAACTTTAAGAATTTGAAAGAAAATAAAGGGCATTCCATTTGAAAAAAGTGAACATTGACATATTTTTCCACTTTTTGTTGCTCATTTGTACAATCTAATTGAAAATTCTGGCGGTTCAGATGAAATACTACAACTTTTATATTTACACTTTTTACCTATCACCTGTAATTACGGTTGCATGTGGGTGTCAAAATATAGTGACTCACCCTGTACGTAGGTAAACATTTTTTGCACACAAAATTGGCCATATCTGCATGTATGAGATAATCCTTATTAATACAATAATTAATGTAATCGCCAAAATACAAAAATTCAAATCAGAGCGAAAAGAGCCATGTAACAAACACATACTTACCGACCAACCGACCGGCAATATCAACAAATAACAATATAACATAACCTCTATAATGTAATGTCAAATCGCTTTGTTCTTATTGGTCGGTACCGAATTGCCTGTACCAGAATTTAAACGCTAGTATTAAATACAGGTTCATAACTAGGGCCGAATTAAGGTAAGATTTTGGTAAAAATCACTTTTCATCACTTTTTGGAGCAGAAATGTCGGTCAATCATACTTAAGAGGTATATCATTAGAAAGGGAATGAAAAGCGCTTTCTAAAAATGACATTAAAAATCCAGGTCCGTATTTAAAAAAATAAAGTTGATAATGGTAGCTCGATCATGAAACGTCGGATTCAAAATTTGAAGATGTCTTGTTGTAGAGCGAAAAAAATTAAAAAACTTTCAAATTCAAATTGTGTCTCCAAAATCAATAGTTTTCGAAATAATTGGAGAAATATTTTTAGGCGTTTCTTAGAAATCACCCAGTATTTCATAAACGAAAAGGAATTTGGCAACACTGTAAACGAGCCTTGAATGAACATCAAAAAAGGTAACTTTTTTCTAATTTAACCGACCTTGTAGCTCTTACCGTTTCGGATATAGCAATAGTGGTATCACTTAAAATATACACCCTGTATATATTTTTTTTTTTTAATTTTTATTTTTTCCCAGTAATAAGCGTTAAGTTTGTTCGGAAATAAAAGGAAAGATAATTTTATTACCTCATGACGTCGTCTTGCTTCAATTCCCGCTTGAACCAAACCAATAACCAGCGGAAACAGAAAAACATGTTGGCGCACTCGTGCGTTTCCAAATAGTTGGCCAAAAAAGGATCGATAAAAGCCAATAAAGTGTACAAATTGGCCAGTTGCTCTTTCATTCCTGCCTGATCGATATCGAAATTAGAAATTAGTTTATTCATGAAGCCGACAAAACACCAAAAAGTGTCGCTTTCGTGTTCAAGCAGCATCAACAGAGGCGATAAAAGATCACTCATGCCTTGTACGTAGCCCAAATCAAAATTGTACATTACATACGTCATTAGAATGTCATTCAAGGTGGTTAAATTGAAGTTGTTGTCGCCTGCATAAAAATCCAAATTTCTATCAGTTCTATTAACATCTTTATCTATTAAGGATTTGCGTTGGGCAAAGTCAGAAAAATTATCTTCTTGAGTTTTTGTAAAAGATTTCCATTGGAGCTTCATCAAATAATACTCCTCACTTTTTGTGGAATTACATTTTTGACGTTCTGCACTGGTGCTGTTCCACGGATGGTAATCTAGAAGGAATTTCCAGACTTCTTTGCGGATTGAAGGTGTTACTCCCTAGAAAAATTTGAGGAGTAAAAATAGTTCAACAATCAATTGGAATTGTTTTTACTCCTCTAAAAATCAAAGTCTTAATCGATTCAACATCTTCCAATCGACCTTCGTAATTGAACTGCTCCCTCCACTGTTCTTCAGTCAAAGGTCTGCACCTAGGAAAATCTTTTCGTTTGGGCAACTGAGGCAACTTTTGCACCAACTCGTAATCACCCCCAGAGTGAACAGTACTAGAATCGTCTATCTCAGACAAGGAGCGATTCAAGTCGTCCTGTTGCAAAAACTCAGCCTCGTTTGCGTCTACACTACGATAAACTGAAAAAAAATTGATGGAACACTCTCCAACAAACAAGACTGACTCACCATAGTTAGTTACTTTACTAAAAGCTTCCAAACTACCTTCGTAAGGATGCTCTTTGATGTTTTTGAAAAGGGTCCACAAAGAGTTTTCGTTTTTAAAATCCAAAGCTGCAAAAGTCTTGTTCAACTCCTGATACTCTGGACTATCAGCGTCGTAAATGACAAATAAGTGTTTGTCGCGTCTTGAAGGGCCGAATTTCAGAAAGCTGCGCAAAATACTGACCAAAACTTCGCAGTTGCCGTGCTGAAATAATAGACTGCAAATTGAATCCGAGGTACCGTCGAAAAATGTCAATTGACGACTCTTGTTGGCAATCCTAAAGCTGTCAATTTGTATTAAACAAATGTTTGTTTTATAGGATTTTGAAACTTACCTTTTGATGTCTTCAAAATTGATTTTCAAATTTTTCAAGCGGGCGTAATAGTCTGGGGGTAGGTTGCCGCTCAAAGTGCGCACGCGCTTTTGTACTGTGTTGACTACCGCCCATTCTTGATCTTGCACGTCAGAGTCTACTGTGACGTCGTTGGGTTTCCATTCGAGTAAGCGTTTTTTCGAGTGGCAGGCTGCAAAGTGTAGTGATATAAGCTATAAAGCTAGTTGGGAAAATTGCGTACAATCTTGCAACACTGCCTGATGGCTATAGAAAATTCGTGAATTATCTGGACTATTCTAGAAGTAACGAAGCAGTATAAAACGGAGTCGATTACTGAGGGAAAAGGTCTTTGGTAGATTAGACGTCATTGTGTTAGTTGGGAGTGAATTGAATACGAATCAAATTTGGTTATACGAACATATGATTGTATATATCATTATGATTTGTGCTTTTTTCAAGTGATGCTCTGATAACTTTATCTGAAGCTGGCAGAACAAGGGAACAAAATGGTAAAATTTTAAAAAAAAATTTGTGAAGATTTTTGCTTTAGACGATCAATTGAAACCTCAGAAACTCCATACAGCATGATTTATTGAGGAATTTGAAGCTGAAATATATGAAAAAGTCAAAAATCCAAAAAGTTGCCCCAAATTCTTTAACATGATTTTTTCTCAGGAACTATAATTCCAAATGAGCTGAAATTCTATGGTTTGTAATCCTCCATTGGGATAAAAATCACTGAAAAATTTCACCTTTCTATCTCTAATAAAAAAAAAGTTATGATTTTTTGAAGTTTACAAAAATCATAAATACCTTAGTGGAAAAAAACACTAAATTATTCTAAGATTTGGAGCCGAATTCTATGAAAAAGGCACTCAGAAAAATTAAAAAATTGATAAATCACCCCAAATTGCTTAACGCGATTTTATTTCTGAAACTATAAGTCTAAATGAGCTGAAATTTTGAGGAACTGTAGTCTCTACTGAAATAAGAATCGCTGAAAAATTCAGCTTTCTATCTCTAATAGAAAAAAAGTTATGACCTATAAGTAGCTACCTTGAACGATGAAATTTCAAAAAAAAAGTTGTTGAGATTTCGTGTCCTAATAGTCCTTTGGGATTCCCCGAACTCCATACTCTAAATTATTCCGAGATTTGGATCCGAATTCTACGAAAAGGCACTCAGAAAAATTGAAAAATTGATAAAACATCCCAAATTGCTTAACATGATTTCATTTCTGGAACTATAAGTCCAAATTGGTTATAATAATATAATATTTCAGGGATTGTAGTTCTCTACTGGAATAAGAATCGCTCAAAATTTTAGTTTTCTATCTCTGATAGAAAAAAAGTTATGACCTTTCAAAGTTATGCATAACTTTAAGTAGGTACCTACTGCTAAAAAGATGAAATTTTAATTTTTTTCTTTTGTTGAGATTTTGTGTCCTAATGGTCCTTTGGTATCCCCCGAACTCTATACACTAAATTTTTCCGAGATTTGGAGCCGGATTCTATGAAAAAAGGCACTCAGAAAAATCGAAAAATTCATAAATCACCCCAAATAATACGATTTAATTTCTGGAACTATAGATCCAAATGAGCTGAAATTTTCTGAAATGTTCTGCAATAGTTCTCTACTGGAATAAGAATTGCTGAAAAATTCAGCTTTTTATTCGTAATAGAAAAAAAGTTCTGATTTTTTTTAATTTACAAAAATCTTAATTAAGGACCTTAATACTAAAAAGATGAAATTTCAATTTTTCTTATGTTGAGATTTTGTATCTGAATAATCATTCGGGACCCCTCAAACTCGATACACTAAATTATTCAGAGATTTGGATTTGGATTCCATGAAAAAAGGCACTCAGGAAAATTGAAGAATCCAAAAATTCACCCCAAATTCCTTAAGGCGATTTTTTCTCAGAAACTATAAGTCCAAATGAGTTGATATTTTGCAGGGTTTGTAGTCGTCTACTAGAACAAGGACTACCGAAAATTTCAGCTTTCTATCTATGATACATTATTGAAAAATTTTTGATGTAAACCCACCCAAATTTAACTAATGTCAAAGGAGATGGAGCTCTGTATATAAACTCGATTAAACTTGCTCGGTTTACACAGCATACTTCAATGCTAATTCAAAAATAAATTGCTAGAAGTTGATTCTGTCTTTTTATGATTCAAAATACTACCTACTTTATTGAAATGAAACTAAAATTGTAAATATTGTATTATTCCATTTGTGAACCTCCAAATTTATTTCCGATTTGAATGTTTTTTATTCCTCAAAATTTCTTTATTTCAGGAAGTTTGGAAGAAAACAAAAGGAGCCAGGAATAGAAAAAAATTGAAATTGAGAAAAAAATAAGGCTTAAAAATACACAGATGTAATACGGGCTTTAATTATATGAACATTACAATATACATATTTTAAATTTGAAAAGATTTTGTTTAGCATGCAGACAGTACATCTATGTAGGTACTATGTAAGTCTTGAAACTTTTGAGAACACTTATATAATTTTCCTCGTAATTTTCTTATTTTTGAGTGATCTTAAGGAGCTCTACTAGTGATGCTTTGCACATACAGGTATTCTTTACCTAGGCGCATTATTTGTTCATAAGGGGTACTCCTCGGGGTCAGTGCCGTAACTAGGACGTGGCAAAAATGACATTTGCCACAGGCGCAATGCTTCAAAAGGGCGCAATTGGTCAGTCATTGTTAAGCAGAAAGCGCCTTTTGTGCAACACACCAAAAATTTGAAGAGCGCTTCCCGCATGTTATACTTATACAGCGAAATAGATATTGATATGGTACTATAAGAAAAACCCAGCAGAAGAAGAAAGACACCGAATATGCCTGGTGAGGAAGCAAATGACGAGGTTCATCTTTTCGATTCCAAAACACATTTGGGAATTGAACTCTTGCAAGTCATTCATACAATTATAACACAAATTGGAGAAACATTTGTGGCGTACTGTGATAGCTGATTTAGGTTTTCTCAGTGGTCATGCTAACGAGAAAACGACTCTAGTGGCGTACTGTGACCTGTGACAGCTGATTTTGGTTTTCTCAGTGGTCATGCTAACGAGAAAACGACTCTAGAAGGTTAAAAAAACCTACAGACTTGGCAAATAAAAATCCAAAAGATTTGAATGCGTTTGCCTTTGAGTTTAGTTCACAGCAGAAATAGAATTTTCAAAATTTCAAGGCGAACCACTGCTTTATAATTTTATCAAAATGGTACCTGTAAAAATGTAGCAAAGTACAGGGGTGGGCATAAATCACTGGCATCCTGTAAAGCAGTGCATGCGTCAGTCCCACTGCTCTCGCTTGGATTTCATGTATGTCAGCTAGCAACGCGGCCGGCAGGGTACAAGTTAGTATGCATATACCTTAAAGCGATTTCCATTTGTCGAACCAGTGCAAAAATAATGTATCCTTATCCTTAAGTACATGTTACATGTTTTTAGAAAAACATGCGGATAAACTCAGTGCGCACTGACCACTGATCTCTAACCCTTCGGGTGGATAAGCAATCGGTTAGATGGGCAAAGCGGAAAAATGTCTATACATGAGTGAAAAAATAGGTAAAATGCGCAACGCGAAACTGTCAAATTCAAGAAAACCGGGTAGCATCGTCAGATGCGAACTAATGAAAATCAATAAAATCATCGATCTTTCTTGCCCATAGATAACGGTGGGAACAGCTGAGCAGAGCCGGATTTCGGAATTGTTAAATTAAAATTACTGGAAATATAATATATCCTACTGAAGTAAAAGAAAGATAATTCTTGGTTTCTAAATTTAGTTTTAATCAATCATAATAATGTATTATTACTGATAATATTATAGTAACTAATACCTAACTCTGAGAGCGACCGTTCTTCCAGCTAGGTACCTAACAAAGGACTTCCATTTATCCTTTCTTATGACGATACTTTTGATACCTTAATATAAGTTTTAATGAACTATTTTACTATTTAATTAGAATAATACAATAATTGGTGAGACCTCCGAAGAAAGAAAGAAAGAAAGAAAGAAAGAATTTGCTTTATTGTCAGAAAATTTTACAATTTTGTGGACAAAGCTGAAAAAATAAAAAACAAAACATACAAATGCAAAAGCACAGACAAAACCAAACACTTGAACAAATAGTTCATGGTCAAAATTTGATTAAAACCAACAAACAAACATCTAGGTCTAACTGCTTGTACTGTTCGAGTAAGCATATTATAGGTACTAAAAAAACAAACAAACAATAACTTATAATAACCTATCATGATACAGGAACAAAAACAAAACCTGTGAGTAAGCTGCTCAAAATTTAGAATTAGGAAACCATAAACAACTCGCTTACTGTGTACAAGGCTCTCCCCAGTAAATACACCTTCAACGCCCTGCGAAATTCGAGAAAAGATGCAACGGACCTGATGTTAGGCGGTAGATGATTATGCATCTTTTTAGCATTATAAAGTATTGAACTTTTAACAAACTCTGAGCGCGGGATTGGCAGATAAAGATCCAACTCTGCGTTCCTCAGTGGATAATTGTGAGATGGCCTCTCTGAGATAGCTGATATTAAGTGCTTACGAATTAAGCAGACGGATTCGAAAATAAATAAAGATGGAAGAGTCAATATACTAGACTTGATAAAAAATTCCCGGCAGTGAGTTCTACTACCAAGTCCCAAAGAATAACGAAGAGCTCTCTTCTGCAGTCTAAAAATGCGTTCAAATTGAGACGCACAACACGTGCCCCAGAATGGAAGGGCGTAACGCAAATGCGACTCAAAAAGAGCATAATATACCATCCTGCAAGTTGCCGAGTTAAGCTCCCTGGAAACAGATCTCAGTGCAAAACAGGCCGAACTTAATTTCTTTGCTAAGGCGTCGATATGCAGGTCCCACTTTAGAGATTTATCAACAACAAGCCCCAGGAATTTCACGGAATCAACGGCCTCCATGGTATTGTTATCCAGTACTACAGATTGGAGCGAAGCTCTGTAAGATAAAACTTTGGTTTTAGAGAGGTTGAGGCACAGGAGATTTGAGTCACACCATGATTTGATGGTGATTAAGTCACTAGATACGGTTCTATGGAGTTCCGTAATATCCGGGTTGCTCCAAGTGAAACTAGTATCGTCTGCGAAGAGACAAACTTTGCCGCTAATATCCAGACTAGCAATGTCGTTAATAAATAGCAGGAACAAAATAGGGCCAAGAACTGAACCCTGAGGCACACCACATTCAATTGGTTTACAAGAGGACATGGTCGAGTCCACCCTCACAAGCTGACTTCTGTTACCAAGATAAGACTTAAACCATTCGAGAGCCATTCCTCTGAAACCGTAGAACTGTAATTTGTTAATTAAGATATTATGATTAACACAGTCGAAAGCTTTGGAGAAATCACAGAAAATTGAGGCTGTAGAGTGGTGGCAGTTCAGGCTGGAGTATACATTATTGAAAAGGGAAAACATTGCATCATTAGTACATTTGTTACTTAGGAAACCGAATTGACTGGTAGTTAGAATATTATATTTAGAGAGAAATGATAGAAGCCTCTTTTTAACCAATCTTTCTATGATCTTTGATAGCGTAGGAAGGAGTGCAATGGGGCGATAGTTTGAAGGTAGCTCCTTATCACCTCCCTTATGCAGTGGGAAAATTATCGCCATCTTAAGACAGTTTGGAAAAGCTCCATTTAGAAACGACTTGTTGATCAGAGTAGTAAGATGTTTTAATGTGCAATCAGGAAGATTAGAGAACATTTTGAGGGTGAGTCCATCAGTCCCAGATGAAGATTTGTTTTTAATATCTTTGATTGTACTGCGAAGCTCTGGAACTACTACAGGCGTGAAGAAGAAACTGTGTAAGTTCACCTTAGCATTCGGGAGATATGAAAGTGGGTCCTGGGAAGGAGTTAAGGTATTCACTAAATTCTTAGCCACATCAACAAAGTAATCGTTAAGGATCTCAGGTGAAGTAGGAATTTTGCTAGATGAAGAAGCCTTATTCCTCAAGTCATTAACAATTGACCATGTTTCTTTTGCAACATTTTTGGAGTTTGCCAGCCTCCTATTATAATAAATGTCTTTGGCGGCTTTTATGGTTTTCTGATAGACTTTTCGGTATAATTTTACGTAATCATTGAAGAAGACGCTATCCGAGAATTTTTTTAGATGAGACAAGGATCGCATATTTTTTCCAGAAGTACGCAAGCCACTAGTGGACCATGGTTTATGCCGCTTGACTTTGATGGGTCTGAGAGGAAAGGATTTGGTCGCCAGGTCAGATAGGGTATTTATGAATCTAGAGAACTCGGAGTCAACATCATCTGAGTGGACGACCCAGTCAACTGATAAGCAAAGTTGACTGAAATTTAAAAAATTTCCATCCGAAAATATTCTGCCCAATTTGCGGGAAGCACCCTTACGTAAGGAATTCAATGAGAAATTCGTTAATACTGCTTCGTGGTCAGAAAACCCTGCACTAAAAATAGAGCAGTTGACCAATTTTGGATCAAAAGATGAAGCGACAAAAAGAATATATTACATTGACTTTCAAAAATAAATTCAAAATTCAAACAAATTATTTTTATGGAGTCAATTTTAACAGACCAAATAAAAACGAACCTGCAAAATATCAGGTATTTTTAGTTTTATCATTGTATAAAAAGGTCTGTTTGTTTATACAATGGTTTTTATGAGTATATTTATTAATCCAAAGAACGGGAAGAACAGGATTTATTATTTCGTGTTTGATAGTTGGTGTTTTTAATGGTTTTTCTTGAATTTTCGTTTTGCTGTGTTACTTTTAAAAATGCTGGATTTTTCAACTTAATTTCGGCAGTATTTCGACCTCGTAGAAATTGTAAGTTCCTACTGGCTATGACTATGTAGTTGAAGAGAGCGAGTCCCAATTGTATGGTTTTATTTTGCCAAAATAAAGGTAAAATACCGGGAATTAGCTGTTTCAAGTAAGTAAAACAACAAATATAAAGCTTAAAATTAAGCTTGTATGAACATTTTCAAACACTACTTGAAAATATCTAAATGCGGTCCTGTCTACTCAACCTTGATTCTGAAACGATTCCAAACAGTGAAATTGTAATGGGCAGGTTTTTGGTCCTATACAGTTTGCCATTTTTCGAATATGCTAGTGCTTGTCCATTTATAGAGGTCAGTGGCACTGACTGTCAAATGGAAATCGCCATTAGTATGTTTGTCAACCTCGAGATGCCCCCCTTCGCATTTCAGTTTGAAGGCTGCCAAGGCTAGGACGTAACGAATAGAAATATTTCTCTATCTCTATTGACGTCTCCCTCTCTATTGATTTCGACAAGAGAGAAGAAGACAGCAAGTGCCATAGCGATAGGTATAACGATCTCTATCCGTTACCGAATTCCACCCGGTGACTCATGCCCACCCCTCTATGTACTCTTGAAAATATTCATCCTAACATATGGACAGCTTTGAGAATATTTCATTCATTTCCATTGTTACGTGTCAGCGTTCCTTTGGTAGCTAAGTTTAAGCTTATACAGACTGGATCAACCCACTAGACACATACAGGGAATAATACGAATTAGCTTGTACACCCGGTCTCAGCGAATCGAGGCGGTGCTGCCGAGTATTTCTGAGCTATGGAAGCCAAGTTTAGCCGAGGTGCCGAGCTGCACGAGCTTTAATATAATAACATGCAACTTGCCAAGCAGTGACATGGGTATCAGGATATCAGTTAGGTCTCATTGAACCCTATGTGTCTAGTAGCCTGGTCCTGTCTGTATAGTCAATGTCATATCCTAGTTGCACTTTAGGACAAGAAAAATTAATAAATGTACCAATACTTCGAATCGATTACACTCAAGTACTTTTAATTATGACTGCATAGTTAATATTTAGAAAAAGATAATTTAGGCTTAGTTTTAGCAAATGATTTCTTCCTATTTTTTTTTTTTTTTGTTCCTTTACCTGTTAGGTACTTACTTTACATTTTGAGTTTTTGATATTAATATTTTACTAATGTCAAATGAAACCGGAATTTTTATACCAGTTACCTACTTTTCTTGTTTAAATATAAAATTTAAAAAATCAGCATTTGTGCGGATATGGATGGGGGCGCAAATTAATAACCTGCCACAGGCGCAAACAGATCTAGTTACAGCTCTGCTCGGGGTAATCTTTCTAAAATACTCGGTAAAATATAAATACTGGTACCTACTCTAAAAAGAATATTAACCAGAATATTTAGAATAATTATTATAAGAGGGATTTTTGATTATAAATTTAAGTAGGCACTAAAGTCTACTTTACCCTTGACCACACAATACTCAGTCTACTTTACCCTTGACCGCACAATACTCAGTCTACTTTACCACACACTATGTGGCAAAGTAACTCTACCACATTGTGTGTACTTGCAAATAAGTGCGGTAAAGTGCATTTTACTGCACAATCGTTGATAAAATGAGAATTTATCCAAACAAGAGATAACAAGAGAGATAAAGTTGAGGATAAGTCTGTTTTTTTTTTCAAAGATATAAGTCAAAATGACATTATGTTGGTAATACCACAGCATATACAAAAAAAATCAGCAAGCTAACTCTCACGCGCATCTTTTCTGCGCACGCCGCCATTAGGGGATACCATCCTGTCATTAAACGGCAGGGGCGCCGAAATTTTATTTCATTTCTTTATTTCTGACAGAGGTCATAGGCGTGCGGTATATAGCGGAATTTTAGTTATGATTTTCGAAGTGAGTTTAGTATATTTGTGTTGTCATTTATAGTGCTATCTGTTATCACTGTTGTATATTTAATAATAATAATAATAAATTAGTAATTATAAATATTATTATATGTAACTATGTAAGTAATGATAAATTTGTTTATTTAAAGCCAAAACGACTCTGTGACAGGAAAGAAAAAACCTAAATTATCGTTAATCAGGCCCTGTTTCGTATCCCAAAATGACCGCTGGTGACATTCCGACCATGAATTCCTTTATTACACGGGCTGTCATTCAAGTTAGCCTGCTGTGTGGTAATGCAATGTAAAATTGTCAATGGGTACATTCAGGCGATCCCAGCGGCTTAGTTTAGCCCCAGGCTTAGCCTCTCAGCAGGAACTTTATTCTTGAAACCAAGGAACAGCGTTCTCATAAAAACTATTACTCTCTCATTGTCAGAGTTATGCCGGATGACAAAGACAGAATCTTCGTTCCAATGAGAACGCTGTTCCTCGGTTTTGAGAATAAGGTTCCTGCTGAGAGGCTGAGCTAAGCCGCTGGGACCGCCTAAATGTAGCCAATACTTTCAATTTTTTTATGTAGAAAAGGCTTGTGTTGCCAACATAGTTAGTAAATTTTTGACTTGGGGAATTATCTGTAAAAAAAAACAGACATTTTATTTTATCTATGTAAGTACAAAAAAATATATAATTTTAAATTTTTTATTGAGGAATGGGATGGGGTACATAAAAATGCAAAATCGAATAAAAAATCTTCAACTTGAGAAGTTGAAAATTATGACTCATACTCACACATCAGAATAAAAATAACAAAGACATGATAATAATACGCAATTATTGATACTTTTAATATAATATAGAATAATCACAACCAGTGACTCACCCTCATTCTCCAGAGTCTCCCAAATATACAAAGTCCCAATCGTATTTATATACTGGATGTAAGCCGAAGGGGCTTGTCTTAGGAGCACCCCGTCTTGACTGAAAACGTCTTGGTAATCGTCGAACTCGTCTTCCATGTTAATCGGCTCGAAATATATTGAAAATTAGGCCTTGAAATACGTATTAAACATTACAAGAATAATAAAAACACATAAACAATTTGAAGAATTTTCTTGTTGTTGTCTTAGAAAATCAGCTGTTTAGATGTCAACCTTTGTCAACGAGTTATCATTTTTACAGATTTCGTTGAAGGTTTAGTCGTTTAGTGCATAGATGGCGCTTTTTTTGGAAGTTACAGTGACTCAATTAAAATTCCTATATTTAATTCATATTGAAAATGAGCAAAAATATAGCGACAAAGCGTGGCTTACTTATAGATTCTTATTAAAATTAGCAAGCTTGAGCAAGAATATGACGGCGGGACCTCTATTGTCGTCACTGCATTTTAGGGTCTATTAAAGTGAGTCACACTGTATTCGCAGTCATTTCAAAATGGAAGAGTTGAGGAGGATGATTTCTTTGAACATCTTTTCATTTTTACTCTTTAACAAAACCAAGCTTTCGATTTTTATTTTTTTTTTCCTTCTTCAGGGCCTTGTTGAAATTATATATACAGGGTGTTTTAGGAATGCGTCCCACCGGGAAACAAATCGTGTAGTTTCTAAGATGGTGGCATTTCCGTTTATTGAAAAGGACTTAATTTGACTCTAGTTTACATGTAAAAATGTCACTTTAAGCGTTGATTATCGTTAAACCTCCCTTAAAATGCGCGGTGCAAACGGTCATAACTTCAATAGGTTTTAGTATAATATTTTGATAAATACCTGTTCATACATCAGTGCGTGTTCAAAAAATAAGATTAAAAATAAAATTAAGAAAACTGCCGAAAAATCATGATTTTTTAATAAGGTAAAGTTTTAGGTAGGAGTGAGTAGAAACCAAAGATGAAATAATATATAGGGTGTCTCATTGCAAATAAGCAAGTTGACTTCTACCGGTGTAACCGGAAATGCAACCATCTTGAAAACATTTTAGCCGGGTTGCCGCCATTGAATTAGTATACCTCCTGTCAAACCTTTAAAAACATTCTGTATAAGTTTTTCATAATATAGACATCTTTTTGGTTCTCGGTGGAACACCCTTTACCTACGTATTATATACAGGGTGATTCATTTAACTTGAAACAGTCTAATATCTCGAAAACGACGTATTTCCAGAGAAAAAAGGTAAAATTTCAAATTAATAATATATATGGTATCATGAGGAAAAGAAAATGGTAGTACTCGTTATCCATGAAAATAAAGTTCAAAGAATCATATTTGAATGTTTGATAACGTCATAGATCTTAACGTCAACGTCAAATACCTAATACGAACAGAATAATATGCCACTCCGGAGATACTTAAAATGGACCGATCCAAAAGTTTGGGCCATTATAGCCCTCAGTGCATTGTGGGTGAGTAGCAAAAATTGACTTTTTTCGAAAACTTGTGACATTTTCTACTCAATTTCCAGATCTTTTTACCCATAAGCATCCGGCATTTCTGGGCAAGCGAACCGGAACACTTCAACTACAGACTAATGAACGTCTACGTCTACATTGGTTGCCTATTTTTCACTTGTATCGTTATTTCCATACATTATGTTTATATATTTCATGTAAGTATGTATTAGATATTTCGAAAATTTCCTTCTCGTAGTTTGGTGTTTGGCCCATTTGAGTGCTCGGTATCTTCAGTAGATCTCTTTCCACAAACGGCTGAAGGCGATGTGTTTGTGGAAATACAGATCTCCTGAAGATGCCGAGCACTCCAATCGACGAAACGTCGAAAGAACGACGGCCAAAAAGGCTCTCTGCACATTAGGCAACTAAATAGAAACTATCTAGAAACTAGAAATCGTCAATCAGTTGCTTATATTAGTTGCCGTTTGTGTATTTCAATGAGCATCCGCAAGCAACGCAGCTATGTAGTTGGTAACTGGTTGGTTGACCACCTGATTTTTCAATACCATGGTGTGCGATCCCTAGTTGAGTAACTACATAGTTGACGATTTAGGTTGCCAACAAGTTTGGTTTCTTTTTAGTTGCTTAGGGCCAGTTTCACAAACAGTGGTAACCCAACGGTAACCACAAGACACTGGGTAACCTACAATATATCTATTTCATAATATCGCACATCCCATTCAAAACTGTATCAAGTAAAAAAAAAACAAAAACGGGATTATCTCAGTAGCATGCAGAAAAACACCGAAAGTTTATCCGTGCAAAACCGTATTAACGTAAGTTCAACCATTTTTCACTAGATGGGGTCACTTGATTTGTCATATATCAAAAATGGCACGAGATCCCCATGCAAAACAGTATTAAACAGTATTATTTTGGCGTTTATAGGGGATGGATCGTGTGTTTCCCTTCAAAAGCGTATTAACGTTAAAAGTGCGGTCATAAAATAGGAATTTTTTAGTGGAAAAGTGCATCATTCCAATTTACTACCCTTTTCTCCCAAAAGCGAGGTACCGTCAAACGGGGTGACTAAGGACGGATTTGACACTTTTTTGTGAATATTTCATGACCAGAATTAGTAAATGGCAATTTTAAGGTGGCTACATGTTTCTACATATTTTGGGAACACGTATGCTAAAAATAATATTTTTTCGAAAATCTTAAATATTTTTTTTTAAATTTTGAAAATTGTCCCGTTTCACCCCGTTTTCGGGGTGACTAGGGACAAGCACTTATTTAGCACTAGAAACCATTGTAAGGCGTTTCTGGAGTGAGACGGGACAAAAATAGAAATTTTTAAAAAAGTAAACATTATTTTTATTGATTTTTGAACAAAATAAAAAAATTTCTACACAAGAAATTATAAAAAAAAAGGTCATTTCTTTCGATAACAATAATGGGTCTACCTAATTTTTCAAATTTATTTGGAATGGAAATTTAACTGCACCTCTTCGCAGTTCCACAGGTCTTGGAAGTATTTTCAAAACCTGGGAAATGTTTACTGTGGATTCATCGGGAACTATTGGAAAAGCAAAGCCATTTTCTATTTTCGAATGTTCTCTTAAAAAAGTGATTCTTATTTGGTCACCAGATTTGTCTAAAATTTTTCCCACAAAATTTTTCGAAAACTTTCCGTCTGTAAATTTTACAATTGCAAAATCTTCAATGTGCAAATCAGTCACTTCCTCTGGCTCTTCTTCCAGGTTTTCCACATCTTCATTTTGATTTCTTTCTTCTCCCTCAGACTCTATGTCTTGTATGCTCCCATTATCATCAGATTCACTTCTATTTAATTCCATCTCCATTTCACTATTGTCAGAATCGGAGTCAGAACTTCTTTCACATGTCACACTTCTACCGGGTGTTACTAGAATTTTCTTTCCTTTACCTTTCTTTGCTGGGTTTGTTGGAGTTCGCTGGTTCTTTAAAAAGTCTGTGAGCGTTTCGGTCCAAGCTAGTTGGCCCTCATCTTCTCGAACAGGCTCTGGGGGTAGACGTTTCAAGACCTGATCCCTGTCGAGTGGAATAAGACCACAACAACGAAATCCAGCCTTTATGTTGTCTTCTAGCTTGTCTCCAATATTATCCAAAGCTTTGTTTAATAAGCCTGGAAACTCAGGTTTTGGGAGTACTCCTTTATTTTTTTTCTTCCACTCTAACAAAATTTTTCTCCACGATTGCTTGAGTGGTTTAAAAAATGCTGTATCCAGAGGTTGTGTAAGGTGGGTGCTATTGGGAGGTAGCAAAACGAATCTGATATTATTTTTTTGACATTCCATGATGACATTTTGGGAGATGTGGCTACTCAGGTTATCGCCTATTACAACCTTAGGCCCCTCAAGTCTTCGGAAGTAGCCTAATGCTATAGTCAAAAACCACTGTTCAAATTGATTTGAATCGAACCATCCACTTTTTGTATTTCCATATCTAGAACCCTGTGGTCCATTTCTTATCCAGTTTTCATAGAGATGTTCTGATTTGAACACCACGTATGGCGGCAACATTACACCAGATCCACTAATTGCAAACATGACTGATGTTGATGTTTTACTGGAATCAAGAATACGGTCTGCATGTTTGTTGCTTCTGCGAATAACGACACGCTGACGGCCCGGATCGTCCGTGAAGTTTGTCTCATCATAGTTCACGATGTTCGCAAGAGGAATGTTTTCTAGAGATAAGTTTAGTTCATCAAAATAGACATTTATTGCTTGCCTGTCAACTGCAGCCCTTGCTCGTTTAATGTTTTTGGAAAGTCTTAAAGCCAAATTATTTTTGTGGCGCAATAAAAATGATTTCATCCAGTCCGGCCCTGGCATATTATTTGTAAATCTTTTTATGTTTACACCCATTCTGTCATAGTATTGTTTTACCAAAATCCGTATATCCATTGGTTCTAAGGGAAATCCCCAATCGGCAACACACAACAAAGAATTCACTATTTTTTTTTCGTCTGCTTCAGCTAAGGCCAATTGACCCCCAGGTTTTTTTAAATTTTGTTTGATGACATGCTGATTAATGGTATTTCTGGATACCCCATACCGTTCCTCTAACTCTCTATAACTTGTTTGTTTCGCTAACCTTTCCCTAACGGCCATTTCAAGTCTTTTTTTGTCGTAATTTTGATATGGCCTTGCGCCAAGCCTCCTAACATATTTACGAGGCATGTCCCGAGTCACCCTAAAAAGTGCATTCAATCAGATTTTCTATCACAAAAAAATAAATAAAAATTTCTGAGCAAAAACGACCTTATTACATCTTTAACAACATATTAGCGGACAAAAAAATAAATAAAACATACATGTCATCACTTACCTTGATATATTTACAGACAACAATTGTAGCGGTTTGAAAAAACACCGATTCTCTATACTTTGAAAACAAATTTTTTGTCGCTGTAAAGACTCACCCGGTGCCGCCCGCATTAGGTGTATTAAAGACCTCAAAGTGTATGCTAATCCCCAGAATATTTATGTTGACCTCCCACCTTGCTCACCCCTGTTGCCAATTTTTATGGAAGCGCGCGCCCAAGTGTCCCAAGTCAACCCGTAGTCCAGAGTCACCCCGTTTGACGGTAAGTATGTAAACAATGTCTTGGATTAAAACTGTATTATCTCAAGTTGATACAGTTTTTTTCGGAATCCGCAATAATATATATTATATTCAGGTTTATAAAAGAGTATTATCTTGGTTTAAGACGCTTTTGCTCGAGAGTAATACCAAATATTAGAATTGCTTCAAGAGAAAAGAGCCTCTTTTTGAGTTAATACAGTTTTTTTCGAAATTATGTATTATTTTATGAAATTATAATGGTTATAAAAGGACATTTTTTCGATTTATTATGCTTTTTCTCGAGCGAGGTTGTATTTTGATACAATTTTTTCTACTGAAAAACAAGAAAATTAATCAAGAAAATCATAATTATTATTTCAAGAAAAAAATTATAAAAAATAAATTTTCTTTGTGTCTTTTAGAATGTCAATCAGGGCAAGAACTGCTAGAATTTTGAGTGCTGCTGCTAAAGTAGTTGCAACGGAATTGCAACTTGCTGAGCCAGTTTGTGGAATCCAAAATGATTTGACATCTGTAAATAGTGCTAGTCCTCATTATAATGCAGAAAACTTGTCCGAAAGTGATAGATCTTTAAATGATTCTCAAATTAATGCTGCGAATTGTGCTGCATCTCAGAATTATACCTCACTAAATACTGAGTCCACACACATTGACGGAATCCAAATCCAACAAAATTTAACATCGATACCTGTCAGTAATTCTGGCCCTAATAATAATCCTGAAACTTTGACCGAAAATAATGGATTAAATGATAACTCCGAGGATAACCCTGAGGTAAATGCTGAATCTGAATTTTGTCCTACACCTCAGAACTATACGCCATTAAATAATGAATCGAATGAATACATTTCATTATCAATCAAACATCAAAAATTTCATGAAGCTCCTGATACCTTAACTTCAAATTTACGCACTCCAAGAACGTCTGAGACTAACATCTTAAAAACTATGACTGCAAACCCAAATGAAAGTGAAACTGAAAGCGAAGATGATGACGATAGTGTTAAAGATCCCAACACTCGAAGGAAGACTGAGACTAGCACCTTAAAAAATAGGACTGCAAAACCAAATGAAAGTGGAACTGAAAGCGAAGATGATGACGATAGTATTAAAGATCCCAATTTTGAAAGTTCTTCAAGTTCGAGTAGCTCAAGTTCAGATTCTTCTTCTTCTTCTTCTTCTTCGTCATCTGATGAAGAAATTGGTCGAGAAGTCTTGAGGGAAATAGTTGCGACAAGAAACACTGAAGAAGTACATGAAGACTTGGAAAATAATGCTACAAATGGAAAGAAATGTAGGAAAAGATTGCGAAACGAAAATGAGTGGAACAAAAACAAGATAAAGAGATTAAGAAATTCCGGCAAGGAGTACATTTCATCAGCAAAATCGAAAAGAGTCGTCTCTGCTAAACAAGTAAAAGAGTCTTGTGGTGAAAAATGCCAACACCAGTGTTCTAAAAAATTTGACAGGGAACAACGTTTACAACTATTCAATGCTTATTACAGCCTCGAGAATATTGATAGAAAGCGTGATTTCTTATCAAAGCATATGGAATTAATTACACCAAAATATCGTTATGTTAGAGCTGCCAGTAACCGAAGACTCAATTTTGCTTTTTATTTCAGAACCTCTGATGGCAAAAAACTGAGGGTTTGCAAGAAATTTTTTAAAAATACTCTTGATATAAATGATAGGACAGTACTTACAGTGAGAGATAAAACTTTGCCATCGGGCGTTGTTAGTGCAGATGGAAGGGGAAAACATAAAAACCATAAAAAAATAAGCGATAATTTGAAGAATGATGTCAGAAATCATATTCAATCAATTCCAAGAATTGAAAGCCATTATCTGCGGGCACAGACATCGAGAGAATTTATTGATGGTAGCAAAACCATTGCTGACCTCTATAGAGACTACAAACTTGCATGTGAGGCTGAAGGCAAGGCGACAGTAAATTATCACATGTACGCAGATATTTTCAACACAGAATTTAACATTTCCTTTTTTATTCCCAAAAAGGACCAATGTAGTCTTTGTTTTCAATACAATACCGCTGATGAAGAAGGCAAAGAAAACTTGAAGTTGCAGTATGATGAACATTTAAAGGAAAAAGTATTATCGAGAAAGGATAAGGAAGAAGATAAAGCCAAAGTAAATCAAAACTTTATTGTGGCTTGCTTTGACATGCAAGCTGTCCTACCAATTCCTAAGGGGGACATCTCAATTTTTTATTATAAATCAAAACTCAACACAATGAACTTGTCAGTTACTGAAATTGGGAATGATGCAACCTGGTGCTATGTTTGGCATGAAGGAGAAGGAGGAAAAGGGGCCACAGAAGTAGGGTCTTGCATCTTGAAATACTTAGAAGAAAAAGCAAGCAAATGCGACAGTGAAGAATTAGAAATAGTTCTTTACAGCGACAATTGTGGAGCACAACAAAAAAATAGGTAAACAAAGACATTCATTCAATAATCTAGGTGATAGTATAAGATTTATTCAATTTGTTCCAGATACTTGATAGCACTTCTTATGTATGCGGTACAGAAATATAAAATTAAGGCAGTCACCCACAAATACCTCATTGTTGGACATACACAAAACGAGGGAGATGCCACCCATTCTGTAATTGAAAAACAGGTAGTTCAATTTTTTCTCATCAATCATTTAGTTAAATAATTTTTAGTTTCTCGCAGCTTTTCTCTACTTATAAAAATTTCATAAGATAAGCTGACTTCATTGCATAACATCATTCGGCAACAAAAAAATATTCTACCCGCCCAATGTAGAACGCCATAAGCACCTATCAAAGCTATCACCGAATGACATCGTGCGACAAAAGAGGCTTATTTTATTCATGCTGGGGATGCTGCTATTCCATCAGCTTTCATTTGTTTATACATTTCAGGTGACCAGAGCATTAAAATCAGGACCTATCTTTGTTCCTGATCAGTTTGTAATGTTGATAAGAGTAGCAAAGAAAAAAGGATCCCCATATTTTGTGAAAGAATTATCACACGATGATTTTGTCGATGTGAAGCAGCTTATGGCTGATACTGGGATAAATTTTAATCTGAATACCAAGGGAGAGCAAGTCTTTATTAGTAACCTTCGAATTGTGAGAGTTGAGAAAAACCAGCCATTTCTGTTTTTTTACAAAATGTCGTATACAGAATCGGAGGAATGGAAATCGGTGGATGTTCGTGGAAATGCAATGGTGAAAAAAACTACCAGACGATCAGAATCTGCAAGCACTCGGTTGAACACCTTGCCAACTCTGAATAAAGCTTACAAATCCAAGCTTACAATTAATGAAAATAAGAAAAAAGATTTGAAATTTCTATTGGAAAAAAATTTTATACCAAACTATTACAAAGGCTTTTATGAATCATTATTTTAGTTATGTTAGTTGACTGTTGGTTCAATTACTTATTCTTTGTTAATCAATAACTAATTGGTATTAAATTAGTAGTTAGAATTCAAGATTTTATTTTTTTACGTTTTTTTTAGAAATTTATTTGTTTTGTTTCAAGAAATTTATATTATTTCTCATATTATTTAAGAAAGTAGTAGCATTTTCTTCTCAGTCATCAATATTATGCATAAAAAATAAAGAAATTATAAAACTCAACACAAAAAGGGTTTAAATATTTTGTGAGAAAAGTGTATCATCTCAAATCAAAGTTCATTTTCGAGACTTCTAGGAAAAATAGAGGATTTTTTTTTAGAGTGTGGTTTTGTGAGCATATTCATTGAAATAAAACCAAAGCATGAAATATCTAAGCCTAATATTGAATGCAAAATGAAAAAAACAATGTTCCAAAATTTTATTTTGCTTATCCTGTAAAATTTCACATTTTTGACTTACTACGGCTTTGAATGGGGTGTGCGATATGTGGTTTAGACAAAACCATTGGTCAAGCTTCAGAATACTTAATGTAGTCAACCCGCAACTATGAGTTTGATAACCAGTACAAGTTACCACCTATAGGCCCAGTTTCAAAAATGGTGATGCATGTTGACCACATTGAATAAACAGAAACAGAGGCTTGACCAATGGTTTTGGATAAACCACATATTATGAAACAGATCTATTGCAGGTTATCATTGGGTTACCACTATTTGTGAAACTGGCTCCTAATGTGCCTGACTCAGTTGATAGCGATTAAAATATTTAATTTTCAGAGGAAGGATTTCCAGTATTGGTTTTCGAGTACGGCGTTCTTATTTATCGTTGTGGCACAGATCTTGATGATGGTCAACGCACTGACGATGCCTCCAAAGTCAAAGTTGAAACTCATCTTTGGTCTCGAGTGTTTAGTAATTTTTCGTAAGAATTTTTTGGGATTTATACAGACAGGACCAGGCTACTAGACACAATGGGAGTTGACTGATGAGCTTTCCACTAAATATCGTTCGTTATCACAAGCTAATTCATCGTATTAGTCCATATGTGTCTAGTAGGTTGGTGTAAAGCTTCGAGTAGGGCTGTCTGGGTAGCCGATTACAATAAACAATTTGTCCTGATTCTATAGTGGGGCTTCTGAAACTCTTCTGAACAACAGTCATCACTGCTGGGATTTGTTGAGAACCTTTATACTACCTTTAACGGCCAAAATTGAATGCTCGTCAGTAGTTAAACAAAGCGGGTTCTGCGACATAACGTTATCGTAATAGTAATAGCGTTAGCGTAAGCGTACGTTAAGTGTGCCATTCATGACACCTTGAGATAAGGAGCTGCGGTCAAATTCCGGAAAAACCGCCAAAAATTTGGGCTTTGCCCGGGTCAAATCCCCGAAATTACAGATCAAAGAAATGCAAGTCCTTCGCCGATCTAGAGATTTTCCCACGGTATCGAAAAAATTCCCAGGCTCAGGTAGTAGTAACGGGGGCACTTGAGCCTGGGAAATTTTTCGATACCGTGGGAAAATCTCTAGATCGGCGGCATCTTTGATTTGTAATTTCGGGGATTTGCCCCGTGCCAACCCAAATTTTTGGCGGTTTTTCCGGAATTTGACCGCAGCTACTTATCTCATGGTGTCATGAATGGCACACTTAACGTAAGCTAACGCTATTACCATTACGAAAACGTTATGTCGCAGAACCCGCTTTGTTTAACTACTCTTATCAAAGCAAATTTTCGTCCAAAAGTATTGGATTATCAACTCGAACCCTATACTTACTTACTTTGTCACGTAGTCTGTAGCTTTTGACAGGAGTCTATATCACATTGACGAACAATTTAAGAATTAAAATTGATGACAATTTTATGTAAGGTAGAATATGAAATAAACAATTTTTTTTTTCAAATAGTTTTCATGTGTCTTTACATACAAGCTGTTACGATGCAACACCGTGTTTTACTGAATCTGACCTACATAAAAAAGGAAGAAAAACACATTGCTATCAAAAAATTGGCTGGCGCCGGTAAGGTAAGGAAGGTGATATACGTAATTATAAAAAGAAATATATATTTCAGCTGACTGCGTCACTATACCCCTAAAAGGACAAATGAAATCTATACAGTCCAAAGTTTTGTTCAAAGGGCCAAGTACTTCACAAGGAAAAGGAAGAGTTTAGTTTATAAATGAATAATCTATTACCTATCTATTCACAATCCGATGTCCAAAAGTAAAGGTAAAATTTATCACCTTTCAGTGCTATTTGATACGAAAAGGTGATGAATTTACCTTTACCTTTGGACTACGGATTGTGAATATGATATAAATAAAAATTACAAAGATAGTTTGGGATTGTTTTATTTCGGTATTTTTTAACAACAAGAGAGAGATTTTTCCTTAAAATTTTAAAACGAGCTAAATATTAATAATAATAGTAACTTTACAATATTGGTTTTTTAAAATTTATTTATTTATGTACAGAGGGCGTGTACTTATTGCAATACCTATAAGTTAATTAAAATGGGTGATAAATAATTTCCTAATAAATAATGAATATAAAATTATCAATCGATATATGATTGATCAATAACAATTATTTATTTATTTATAATAACAAGCCGTATAAATGATAAAAAAAAGTAACAAAGAGACGTTTCACAATTTGACACTTTTTGTTTATTTAGTTAGTGGACAAAGACGGATATGCCTTTTTTTATATAACAAAAAGAGTTGATAAAAACAACAAAAATTTGATTTTATCACAGACAATAGTCAATATAATGAAAAACCAGCCAGAAATGGCGAACACAACAAAGCACACGAGGTATGAAACAAAAACGATATAATAGGAACCCGGTGTAGCTTTAACATACAGACTGGACCAACCTACTAGACACATAGAGAATAATAAGACTAATCGAGGTATGAGTATCAGTCAACTAGTCCCATTGAAGCATATGTATCTAGTAGCCTAGAGTCCTGTCTGTACAAGTGTGGTCTTAATGGTTATTGATCATATTTTGCAAAAAAATAAACAACATCATTGAATCAAATCCAGGATTTCTAATATTGACTGGTTTTGGGAAACAGTAATAAAGTGGTCTTCGACCAAATTGTTCATGAAACCAGCCACCTCTTTCAATTCCAAAAAAAAATAAAAACGCGATATCATTGCTTAGACACGACAGTCTTTTTGTTCTGCTCTGCTCAATCCCACATTGCATTTATAATCTACTTTTTTCCTCTACGAATCCTTTTCTATCTCGTAACGGTACTACTAGTTTCTCCAGTACGATTCAACAGCGGTACCTCGTCCTCTTGCACTATTGGCTTATTATTGGTTTCCGTTACCACTATCGTAGTGTCTTTGTGTTCGTGGCACTCGCACTTGCACTCTTCCGGATTGACGTAAGTGTACACCACGTTGTCCTTGATTAAGCCTCCTGGAATATCGATTTGGCCTCGAGACGGAATAGTTTGGATGCGTTTCGGAGGTTTTCTTCTTTCGGGGACCTCTTCGAAATTAATCCAGCTTTTTTTTTGGATACCTTTGGGTGGTAAAGGCGGAGGAGGACTGTCTTCTTTAAGAGGCTTCGCTTTTGTGTCTGCCCTAGGAAGCGATATTTTTAATTTTTCAGCTTGCCCGTTACTGTTATGCGAAAATCCATCAAAGTAGTTTTCTAAGCTGGAATGTTGTATGGGAGTAGTACTTCTGGGCCGTTCTATAGGACAAGTTTTAATGTCCAAAACGCAACGTTGTTTTACTGGTAGAATCGGTACCGCAGCTGAACGCTCCTGAGGCAAGGTGGTAGGCACATAAGGCAATTCATCTTCGAACGAGTCTTGCTGCAACACTATAGCTTTACGCTCGGTTTCGGTACTTTTCCGATGGAACTCGCCCACGTCCGAGTCTTTCTCAGACTCGGACGAGTTGTGATCCTCGTGATGACAGCTACTCGTTTCTAATAGTAGACTGTCGGAATTTAGAAGACGATTTGTTGTTGTTTCAGTTGACTCAACTTCAGCATGAGCCAATGAAGTGTCGATAACATCTAGATCCAATTTTTGGCACTTTTCCGTTTCAGAAGTCACTTCAACGACAGTAATCTGATTTGGAGTTGGGCTAGGATTTAATTCAACCACTGTAACTTGATTTATAGGTGTTTTAGTAGCTTGGGCTTCAACAGGACTTGGTTTAGAAGCAACTTCAACAGGACTTGGTTTAGGAGCAACTTCAACTACTGTAACTTGCGAATCTTGACTTGAGGCTTGTAATTCTTGCAGTAAGCTCTTGTTTTCATAATAAGTAGGCGAATGTAAAGGTATACGAATGATAGTTTCGGTGCTTGGCGGTTTTTCTGGCTTGTGAATCTTGACACTTTTTACAGGTGGGGCCATGCCGTTTGATTTCTGATGTTGTTTTGCCTTAAACAGCGACAACACTGAGGATTTATGCTTGCTCCCTTTACTGTCAACGCTTTCGGTGGAAGAAATGGCTTTTTTCGTTAAGGTGTTCTTTTTTTTCTGCTTCAGACTTGACGTACTGGGTGAATCGGGACCTGTACGAAATAAAGTGACAAAGGAGTTTCTACGTGGTACTGAAGGCGAAGGACTTGCATTTCCTTGGGCCGCATCTTTGCGCATCAGTTTCGGACTGTTCGTCAAGCTACGTGCATGTTTTTTGCTGCAAGCTTCTTTGTTTAGAGTCAAGTTTAGACTGGTGGGAGGCCTACTGGATGATGGTGTGCTAGGTTCATTGTCATCATAACAATGATCGGGTTTCAATTTGATGCGAATATATTTAGGCTCATGGGTTCTCGAGCTTACTATTGGTGGAGCGGAGGAAGGTTTTTTATGTTTTGCTGATCGAGATTCACTACTACTGTCATCTACTGGCAAGGGACCTTTTAGAGGTATGTAAATATATTCCACTCCACTTTTAGATATAATTTTCCTAGGTAATTTTGGTCTTTCCTCTTTAGGCTCTTTACTAGCTGCAGTAATTTTAACTTTTGGCTTATTGGCTTTCATTCCTTCCATCAGCACAGCTTCACCTACATTTGATTTCCTAGCCAAAACGATTTTCTCGTTGATCTCTTGGTTGTCCAGGTTGAGGTTGGACTGTGAGCCTTTGGGTCCGCAAAACGACGTTTCCAGTAAAGTCTTGTGCGGGGACGAGCATTGAGAGTAAGCCGAACGACCGGAAGTGATTGAAATGTGGCTGGCGTTGGACAAACGGCTTTGTCCCGATCCCTGGCTACAGTGGCTCCCTATGCTGGACACTCGAGACGTTCTACCGGATATCGATAATAGGATTACGTCAGAGCATTGGGAATCTTTGCGATTACTGTTGTTAATGTATAGTTCGTCGAATTCAGGCGAAGCGGAACGATGTTTGTAGTGGTGAGGTGTTTTTGTGGCCTCATCATGGAAGTCTAATTCTTCAGTTGACAATCGCAGTTCCAGAGCGTCGTCTTCTTTGAAACCAAGTCCCAGTTTTACACTGAAAAAGTTTTACTAAGTATAATTTGCTTTATAAAAAAATATTTTTCTACTCACTTGGGTTCAGTACTCTCAAATATCTCCCTTTCAGGTGTACTGTCGCGGCTATCGTGATGCGACGAGCTACTGGCTCGTGATATATCAATTCTCGGTGTGATGTTGGCCAGTTTCATTTTGTATGGTACTGGCGAAGGTGCACCAATCAAACTGACACCAGAGTGATGACTTCGACGGGAATCGGGATCGGGCGAAGGCGTGAGCACGTCCTGTTCGGTTATTCCCGGCAGTCGGATGACGTTGATTTCTTTTTCACTCGGACTCTCCATCTATCAAGAAGGAATATTTTTGATCAATAAAAGTTGCATAAGTGGCTTGCAAAGTTTGGATAGACGTGAAGAAATGAAAGAAGATACATACACGTGATCTCACCTCGTCTGAGAGATCTTCGAAGGAGGCAAAGGGAGCGGGACCCATGCGTTTTTGGTGGTGGGGGGATTTACTGGTACCGGGTTCCATTTTTTTTTTTGTAGACTGTAGAGTCAGTACCTGAAAATGAGCTACTATATACACCAACAACGGAATCTACTCTCATGAAATATGTTTATGCTGGTGGGATGTTTTAGATTATAGTAGGATGCTCTACAGAAAGTTTTAGAAACATTGCGCAGAGTATGCCTGTCTTTGTTTATGGTGGCGTGTGGGCAAAAGATAAAAATATAGTACATGATGGTCGAAACTCAAAATTACTAGCAGTGCCTCATTCCTCACATATAGAGCGGCGCGGGTCATGAGACGTTAGGGAAAATGATTCCAGTGGCATGTATATATTTTAATCGGTTAATAGGTACCTACCCTAATCAATAGTTTTTATCTAATTTGCCGTCAAGCCACCCAGTCGAGTTTTTCATAAGGGTATCCCCTTTGAATTCTAATTTCAAAATATTCGAACCTCTATTGCTCGATAACCGTTGAGCAAATTGCATTGAAATTTTTAGCATTCGTGTCTTTTATTAGGCTCTAAATGGCCTGTAATTTACAATTTTCTCAGATTTATAGTTTTTGAGCAAATTGAGTTTGAAGTTTTTTGACAAATTTCGACCTATATCAGGTCTCATCAGTATGGCTAGGAAAAGCAAAGAAAACCAATCCAATTTTTCGCCTAAAGGCAAATGCAAGAATTACGAAGAGCGAATCTTGATCTTGACGATCAAGATCAAGATTCGCTCTTCGTAATTCTTGCATTTGCCTTTAGGCGAAAAATTGGATTGGTTTTCTTTGCTTTTCCTAGCCATACTGATGAGACCTGATATAGGTCGAAACGCGTCTATGGATGGAAAAGCGGAGAAAATCAATCCAAAAAACTTTTCTCAAACAGTGGTACTTTTGGGTTAAACCCAAACGAACTGAATTTTGGTCGGCCTTTGGACGTTCATCATTTAGCACAGCAAAATTGCGTGTAAGTGTTGATTATCGGTCCTAGATGGCGTCAAGATCAAGATTCGCTCTTCGTAATTTTTTGACAAAATTTGGACTAAAAGTCAACTTTGAGGCTCAATTGTACAAAAAGTATTTGAGATCTCAAACTCAATTTTACACAGATTTATAGAGAATTTAATGCTCTTTCCAATTGTGTATAATTTATTTTAAATTGCTCGAAATTTAACAAAAATATGGGCAATTGTTCATTTCATGACCATGTCAAGAGCTAAAAATTGGATTTCCTTTTTAATTTTGTTTCTGCTCAAAATGGCGACGCGAAAATGATGTCAGGGTTATTTTCTACTTATTTTGACCCGCTCTATCGATTGGTGAAGTCAAAATTGAGCAAAACGAAAAAATGAAAAAGTCGATTTTTTCATAAGGGTATAGGTACCCCTTGGAATTCTAATTTCAAAATATTCAAACCTCAATTGCTCGGTAACCGTTGAGCAAATTGCATTGAAATTTTCAGTATTTATAGTTCTTATCAAGCTCTAGATGGCCTGTAATTTACAATGTATTGAGATTTATAATTTTTGAGCAAATTGAGTTTGAAGTTTTTGGCAAAATTTGGGCTAAAAGTCAACTTTGAGGCTCAATTGCTCACAAACTGTTTGAGCTATGGAACTCAATTTTTTACAGATTTATAGAGAATTTAATGCTCTTTCGAATGGTGTATAATTTATTTCAAGTTGCTCGAAATTAAATAAAGATATGGGCAATTGCCAATGACCATGTCAAGATTTTGAAAATTTTCTGTAGCCAAAAATAGAATTTCCTTTTTAATTTTGTTTCTGCTTGTTGTTGTTTTCGACTAATTTGGACCCGCTCTATCGATTGGTGAGGTCAAAATTGAGCAAAACTAGAAAATAAAAAAATCGAGTTTTTCATAAGGATATACCCCCTTTGAATTCTAGTTTCAAAATATTCAAACCTCCAATTGCTCTATTACTGTTAAACAAATTGCATTGAAATTTTCAAAATTTGTAGCTCTTATGACTTGTAATTTACGATATTGCCAGATTTATAGTTTTTGAGCAAATTGAGTTTGAAGTTTTTGACAAAATTTGGACTAAAAGTCAACTTTGAGACTTAATTGCTCAAAAACTATTTGAGGTATCAAACTCAATTTTGCACAGATTTATAGAGAATTTAATGCTCTTTTCAATGGTAGATAATTTATTTCAAATTGTTTGGAATTTAACAAAAATATGGGCAATTGCTCATGACCATGTCAAGATTTTGAAAACTTTTCAGAGCTAAAAATAAGATTTACTTTTTAATTTTGTTTCTGCTTAAAATGGCCATTTGGAAATGATGTCAGGATTGTTTTCCACTAATTTTTAGCCACTCTATCGATTAATGGAGTCAAAATTGAGCAAAACTAAAAAATTAAAAAGTCCAGTTTTTCATAAGGATACCCCCTTTGAATTCTAATTTCAAAATATTCAAACCTCAATTGCTTGCTAACTGTTGAGCAAATTGCATTGAAATTTCCAGCAATTGTAGCTCTCATTAAGCTCTAAATGGCCTGTAATTTACAATATTCCCAGATTTATAGTTATTAAGCAAATTAAGTTTGAAGTTTTTGACAAAATTTGGACTGATAGTCAACTTTGAAACTCAATTGCTCAAAAGCTATTTGAGCTATGAATCTCAATTTCGCATGGATTTATAGAGAATTTTATGCTCTTTCCAATGGTATATAATTTATTTTAAATTTCTAGAAATTTACTAAAGATATGGCAATTGCTCATGACCATGTCAAGATTTTGAAAATTTTCCAGAGCCAAAAGTACGATTTCCTTTTTAATTTTGTTTCTACTTGATATGGCCATTTGGAAATTATGTCAGGGTTGTTTTCCACTAATTTTGACCCATTCTATCGATTGATGAAGTAAAAATTGAGCAAAACTAAAAAATAAAAAAGTTGAGTTTTTCATAAGGGTAGGTACCTACCAACCCCCTTTGAATTCTAATTTCAAAATATTCAAACCTCAATTGCTCGGTAACCGTTGAGCAAATTGCATTGAAATTTACAGTTTTTGTAGCTCTCATTAAGCTCTAAATGGTCTGTAATTTACAATAATCCCAGATTTATAATTTTTGAGCAAACTGAGTTTGAAGCTTTTGACAAAATTTGGACCAAAAGTCAACTTTGAGGCTCAATTGCTTAAAAACTATTTGAGCTATCAAACTCAATTTTGCACGAATTTATAGAGAATTTATTGCTCTTTCTAATGGTATATAATTTATTTAATTTGCTCGAAATTTAACATAGATATGGAAATTAAAATCATCCGAGCTTTTATGAGACCCTAAATTTGTTATTCCACTCTTCAGCTAGAAACTCTAAAGCAAACTCCGTTTTCAATCGGAACAAAACCAATAAAAATAAATAGCAAATCCATGATAATAAATCCAAGATTAGATCATAAATTCAACACTCCAATAGGCAACTCAATAACTGACCTAAATTCTTTGAAAAAAAAATTTTTTTGATAATTTAATTTCAATCAAGGGTAGGTGACAATCTAAACTCACCCCCCCAAAATGTTATCCACAAAATCACGCCACAACCACTAAAAATCTTTAATAAAAAATAAACACATTTTTACAAGTTAAAAATACGTAAAAATCCTCTCCAACAAACCGGAGAGCGACTCCATGGAGGCAAACGTGGAAAGTTGACTAACCTGGCCGATTGGGGGGCGCCACTAAGGATAGGAGAAGGGCAAATCAATAGTAATGTGGCCCTTATTATGTGTTGCGTATAAGGGATGAATGATAATTATTATTTAGTTAGATTGGATATTTTGAATCTAACTTTCACATAATTTTCCTTCCTGATAAAGTTTATACATATGAGATAACACAATGAAAAATAAAAATATTTTTACATAGGCTAGACAGAAATCGTCTCTCTCAGTCATCAATTAAGATAACCATTCAATGCCAATATTGTTTATTATATTGATGTTTTACTCTCCTTATCAATAAATAAATTATTGTCAATTCCTTTTTAAGTGATAACGCATCCAGTAGCTATAGTCTCTTCAAGTTGTCTGTATCGATAATTAAATAATTACCAAATTTGTTAATAATGTATGGTGATGAATACAATGTGTGATAATTAAAGTAGAAATTATTAGATAAAAATAAGGTAGGAACTTGAAGTGGAAAGCAAAAGTACTTTCCATTTTTGATTATTAACTAATTAATATAAACATTTGAGTTATTAGTCATTATAGCCTTGTACCAAAAAAAAAACTCAAAGGTTAATAACAGTTCACTATCTTTCAGTCAAAGCAGTTTTAACCGCGATTAAAAAATTATTAGACTCACAAAAATAAAAATAAAAACATGTGACGTGATTTAAAATTTTAATTATCACGTATTCACTTATGGAAAAATGAAAATTACTACTTGCACGCATCAAGTAAAGGCAACTTAATTTAAGTATTATTAGTAAGTTTCGATTTGCTTTTCAGTATAGTTTTCCTATAACGTTTGAATTGTGTAGTAAATATATTAAGGTAGGTATGAATTTTAATTTATTTTGAACTAATTTGTTAACTTTTTTTATATTATCATTAAGTTGAAACTGATTAAATTCTCCAACACTTTATTTATGCATTAGGTACTTACAAAAAATCACACGGTTTTATGTCATATAAATCATAACCCGGATAATAAATTTATTAAGCACTCAGATACCTACTTACAGTAGCGGCTCGTAACTATTTCGAGTGAGGAGGCTGAAAAATAATGAATTACGGTAATAGTATAGTGACTTGTCGCCGAAAAATAGCTTGATACTTCGGTTTTTGAGTAAAAGCAAATCCTTTTCACAGGTGAAAGAACATGTAAGAATTAGTAGATTTTTTAACAGACCCATCTCAAAAAGTCATGCCGACCCCCCCTCCACCCCCCTCAAACTTGATAAGTGGATTGTTTTAGTTTTTATGATTTTTCTCAAAAATGGTACAAGATAGAAACGTCATTTTGAGGTCATTCGATACAGCACAAAATTCTGCATAATGACTATGGCCTTATTTTTGTTTATGTTTTCAAGGTAAGGACCTACGTGAACAAAAATGTGGTGGGGGGTAATCACAAAGACACGCGTTGATCAATATCATTAAAACCGCTTGAAAACAAAAAAAAATAGAGGATACAAAAAATTGAGAATAAAGCTTTCTCTATTAACTGATATATAATTTTTTTTCGTATCTTTCAAAATAAAGCCACCAGTGGCGTACAAAAAAGTAGTGGAGTAAGAGGAATTATTAAAAATAAATATTTTTGGTTACCTATATCCTTTCAAACTAATTTATTTATTTTATTGTATTTATATGCATCATTTTGAAAAAATCAGGAGCGTATGGTAGAACTATATGGTAGAACTTCTATGCCCATCTAAATGGGGATGGACTCTAGAAAACAATAAATGGACGTCACTATGAAACCCTACGAAAAATGAGAAAATATCATCCGACATTTTATTAAAATTTAAATGCAAAACTTGTGGCCCAAATGTAAATGCTTTTTGAAAAATTTAAAATGCATTAACTGTACTTGTGTGCAGAATATTGCAATTAATTTTAGGTGTAAATACAAGAGGTTACACTAGCTTTTCTGTGAAGACGTTTTGAGTTGTTAAAATTTTTAAACAATTTACTTATACTGTATTTTTTCTCAAGATAGATTTAGATACTGTCAACTTTGGAACATAAACAATGCCGCTTATTGGTCGCAACATGTCATTCGCACGAAATGCATTCTAGAACTGTATCGCCATTTAAAAAAAATTACACTTTATTTACTTGTATTATCTTCGAATACGCTCCTGATTTTTTCCAAAATATTGTTTACCTGCATATAAATACAATAAAATAAATAAATTAGTTTAAAAGGATATAACCAAAATAGTTATTTTTGTCATACGTTCCCAAAAACCGATGCAAGTACGTAAAATGCTTCTTTTTAGGATTTATTTTTCTATCTGGATGCACCCTTATGATTTCAAAAATTAGGGTTTTGCAAATTTTAGCGTGCTGAAGAATTATAAAAAGCGTATGACTAAAGATAGGTGTTTGTCACACGTACCTAATGAAGTTTTTCCAGGACTCATCTGTTATTCCGGACTCGGCTGGATTCGTCCTGGAAAACTTCATTTTAGGTACTTGTGACAAAAATAACTATTTTATCACAAATGTAATTGAGAAAGCGTCAAATGTAATTGAGAAAAGTCAAATTTTATTGAGAATGCGTTAATTGTAATTGAGAATAGTCAAATGTAATTGAGAAACCGTCAGATGTAATTGAGAATAGATAAATGTAATCGCGAATGCGTTATTTGTAATCGCGAATGCGTTAATTGTAGTTCAGAAAGCATCAAATGAGATTCAGATCAGATCAAATGAAATTGAGATCATGCAAGATTCGAAACTGTCTGTATATGTAGTGTGTAAGCATTCGCAATTCGTGATTCGCATCTATAGGAACTACGCTTTAGACAAATCATTCAGTGAATGAAATGTCTGGATGAGGCGCCACTTATTCGCCAATGCTGAATCCCATCGAGAACATTTGGTCCAAAGTAAAAACTTATGTTAAACGTAATTTACGAGTACCAGAAGTGAACGGGCCTGGAGTAGTTGAACAGCGATTGGCTTTATGGAACCAATGCTTATTGGACGATAGTTTTGAGAACTGTTTGTTCTTTAATTAGGATTTTATGTAACTTTCATTTCAATAATAAAGGTTCTGATATTATTAATTATTATTCAACCAAAATGTTTTACAGTTTTCGATATCCCCACAAATTCTCACGAATTTTTGTGACACCATGTATGTATATGTTTTCGCATTCTCATTATCTCAATTTCATTTGACCTATTCTGAATCTCATTTGATGCTTTCTGAATTACATTTAACGTTTTCTCCATAACATTTGACTGTTTCTCAATTACATTTGACTATTCTCAATTACAATTAACGAATTCTCAATTAGATTTAACTATTCTTCTCAATAACATTTGATGGTTTCTCAATTACATTTGACTATTCTCAATTACAGTTGACGAATTCTGAATAACATTTAACTATTCTCAATTACATTTAACGCTTTCTCAATTACATTTGACTATTCTCAATTACAAGGGACGGTTTCTGAATTACAATTGGAAAAGGTGTAGATAGAAAAAAAAATCTTAAAAAGAAGCATTTTACGGACTTGAATGAATCCGTAAAATAGCTATTTTTGGGAATGTATGACAAAAATATTTATTTTTAATCATTCCTCTTACTCCACTACTTTTTTGTACGCCACTGGTGGTTTTATTTTGAAAGATACGAAACAAAATTATATATCTATCGATAGAGAAAACTTTATTCTTAATTTTTTGTATCTTCTATTTTTTTTGGTTTTCAAGCGGTTTTAATGATATTGATCAATACGTGTATATGTGATTACCCCCCACCACATTTTTGTTCACATGGGGCCTTACCTTGACTTGCGTCTATATCTCAACGTGGCTCCTTCAATATGCGCGTGCGCCTACTTTCCACAGAAAATTTTTAGGTTACGTTTTCTTGTGAAAAATGTATTTTGACACAGAAAAAATCAAATTGCACATAAAATCTAAAAGAAAGTATGTATAGTCCCCGCCATAGATAATCGAGATTCCTACAAAAAATGATTTCTCTGTCGGCGATGCCCGGATAAACAAAAACCGTTGCAAAAACTCTACACATAAAGAATTGAGAATAAATTTAGTCCAAGAGCATCAATTTTTTGATTTTGTTTATCCGGACATCGCCGACAAAGAAATCATTTTTTGTAGGAATCTTGATTATCTGGTGCGAGGACTCACAGACTCTAAATGCGTGTCCAATTCAGTGTAGAACCCAAACGATTTGTTACACATTACACAAAGGGCACAATATTGTTTTTTTCCTTCCAGCCACCAACGAATCATGCATATTTTTGGTATGCCTGCTTAAATTGCCCTGATTTGAAAATGTTTTGGAACACCAAGTACAGACGCATATACATATCTACAAAATTTGGATTCATCTTCTCTTCAGGACTTACTTCTCATTAGATCATTTTTACTTATTTATGAGCCCTTTTCAATGTTTTCACTGTTTCCCTCCATCACGACACGAATCAACAGATATGTAACTAAAAAAATTGCCCTAAACGGGGTGGATAGAAACTTCAGGGTCAGTAGAAACAATGTTACGTTACGAAACTTACTAAACAAGTACAAGTTCAAACTTCAAAATCAAAACAAGACAGAAAAACCTAACCTTGAAATTTTCTGTGGAAAGTACGCGCATACTGAAGGAGCCACGTTGAGAAATAGACGCAAGTCCTTACCTTGAAGACATAAACAAAAATAAGGGCATAGTAATTATGCAGAATTTTGTGCTTTATCGAATGGCACCAAAATGACGCTTCTATCTTTTACCGTTTATGAGAAAAATAATAAAAACTAAAACAATCCACTTATCAAGTTTGAGGGGGGTGGAGGGGGGGTCGGCATGACTTTTTGAGATGGGTCTGTTCAAAAATCTACTAATTCTGACATGTTCTTTCACTTGTGAAAAGGATTTACTTTTACTCAAAAACCGAAGTATGAAACCCTCAAGTCACTAGGCTATATCGCATTCATATAAAAAGTATACATTGTGCCAATCTGAAAAACAGATATTGGGTATAATTCTAACAGCAATATTACATGTTTATTGATTAGCAATATTGGGACAATATTTTTCTTCAATATTGGATTCATAATTACAATATATATTGGGCCATTAAAAAAAAATCTGTCGTTTCCATTCTTGGGCCAATATGTAAATATAATATTTTACCAATATTGTTGTGCTACTGGGGTAGCCTTCGATTTATTTTTTTAATTTTTATAGCCTCCCAACTCGAAAACGAAAAGCTTGGGAGAAAAACTTCAAATACAAAACTTATAGATCTCGTAGAGTACTACAAAAAAGCTTATAAGAAGTATCCCGCCACGGGACACCGTTTTCGAGAAAATAGACCTGGAAAATTTTAACAAAATTACAAAGAATTTCAACTTTGACAGCTGATATTTCAAAGACAAAAACGGCCTGGAATCTCAATATAAAAATATTTTGTAGGTAATTTCATCCTCTTTCAAAAGAGATAGGACTCGAAACGATCGGTTGAGAAATAGCGGAGCTATAAGCGAAAAAGTAACGTCGTATCGCCGAAATTTTTATCTGGCCAAAATCGAAATATCCTTTTTTAATTTTTTCCCGGCCTTAAAATGCGTCATAGCAAGCAGGGTCCCATAAGCTTTTCAACGTTTTTTTTGCTCCTCTTCGGGCTCGCCTGTAACTCCGGCCCTTCGAGCTCGCCTATAACTCCGGCCCTTCGGGCTCGCCTATAACTCCGGCCCTTCGGGCTCGCCTATAACTCCGGCCCTTCGGGCTCGCCTATAACTCCGGCCCTTCGGGCTCGCCTATAACTCCGGCCCTTCGGGCTCGCCTATAACTCCGGCCCTTCGGGCTCGCCCGAAGGGCCGGAGTTATACGGAATTAAGAATAAAAAACTGAAATTGAATTTTTAATTTTTTGGAGGAGGCTTAGCCTCCCCTGCCGCCACTGCCTACTTAAAACACTTATTATTATCATGATCATTATCATGTTTTATGAGCCAAATATTTGGTCCATAATTAGAGCTTTTATTGAATCGAAACAGACAATAATTGTGTGTAAAAATAGGAATTTGAACTCTTTAAAGTACGAACATAGGATCACATAACATTAACTGATAAATTTCATGTTGTTTTGGTGGGCCCTGTATCATAATCTCAGCAAATAATCCTCTTAACGCGGTTGTAATCGTCATATCATTATCATGTGGATTTTTATCGGTTTTAGTACCAAGAGAGAGTACGCTTTCTTCAGTTACTTTGTAAATCGTTTTCGGGTATCATCCTAAAAACTGTTCGACTTTTGGACTGTAAAGCAAGATTTCACATTGAATTTTTTAGAAAAATGGACGAAGACGTAGTCAACCATGACGCCGACAAACCAAAAATAATCATCTCATCAGAAACTACCAAATCCAAAAGACGACGTTTACGGGTTGGTGATCCAGATTTCGTACCCCCAGATGGAGGCTGGGGTTGGTTAATCGTGTTCGCTTGTGGATTTAGTAATGTAAGTAACTAATCCATGCACGCATAAAAAAACAACTTTCTTTGTCTTTTTCTAGCTCAGCATCTTTCCAATGTTCCAACAATTTGGCCTAGTATTCCGTTCCCGTTTCGAAGAACTTCACATCTCCTCGGCCCAAACTACCTCGGTGATAAACATGAACTCTGCCTTCAATGCTGGCATGGGTAGGTAGGTGCCTCTATTAATAAAAAAAGTATTAATTTTCACTCAAAAAACTTGAATTTAGGGCTACTCAATGGACCATTGTACCGCAAATTCACTTACAGACAAGTTGCCATGTGCGGTTCACTTTTAGTTGCCGTATCTTTGTTTCTATGTCAGTATTGTGACAGTTTTTGGGGCTACATGATTCTTTACTCTGCCTGTTACGGTAAGAACTATCACTAATTAATAGGTTTTGTGATAAATTTAAATTTATAGGAGCCGGTATTGGAACAACCCAATCGTCCAACTCACTAGCTCTAAATACGTACTTTAAAGACAAGCGACGTGTGGCTACAGGGTTTTCATGGACAACTACCGCTTTAGGGCCGATAGTGTGGCCTTACATTATCGTTTTATTCAATTCGGTTTACGGTATCAAAGGGACGATATTGTTGTTTGCCGGATTTGCCCTACACGCCTTTGTTTGTTCGTTGTTGCTACAACCAGTAGAATGGCATACGAAGTTTAGAGTAAGAAAATTTATATTAGTAGTTGGCAATAGTCATGTTCTTTATATGTTTCCCTAATTATACACTTATAGCAGAATCAATTTCAAAATAAAAAAGACTCAACACTAAAGTCCCAATTTCCTACGTGTACTTACAATTTTTCCTTATTTTCACTAAATTATTCTAATTTCTTGATTTTAGGCGCGAATTTAAATTGATATCCGAGGCATTGAAAAACGAAAAACTTCATAAATTTTGTCTTCACTGGACTGATCACCCTTCACATTTCCAGTTTCTACTCTGCTGTTCTCGCCTACTTGATTATTTTTGTATGAATTCAATCAGGGTGTTTCCTTATATTTTGACCCCTACCTACAGCTTTAGCTATACGAGGTGGAAAAAAACTTTAAATATGAAAGTTGTAGGGTTTTATGTCTATTATCTTTTGCGAATGTCGAAACGGGCAAATGACAGGTGCCAACTGTCACAATGACAAACACTTGCATTTTTCAAATGGAACACCCTGTATATTTTTGGCTAGAATGATAGTTTTTTTCTTCTAATTTCAAATATACCATATATTGTTGAGATTTGGTTCAGCTGTTTTTACGTTATTCAAGTTTAAAAGTGCATTTACATTACCCTTAATTTAATCTGTCCTGGTTTCTCATACTATATGAATGATGAGGCTTGCTCAATGCAATTTTGAAATTAAATAGCGCAAAAACAACTGAACCAAATATCAACATAGGTATATGGTATATTTGGAATCAGAAGAAAAAAAGCTATCGTTCTAGCCAAAAATATACAGAGTGTTCCATTTGAAAAATGCAAGTGTTTGTTATTGTGACTGTTGGCACCTGTCATTTGCCCGTTTTGACATTCGCGAAAGATAAAAAACGTAGGGGTCAAAATATAAGGAAACACCCTGTACAGTAATCAAAAATCGCTCAGACACGTCAATTTTTGTTTTTTGGGGGACACATTCTATTGGTATTTTCGTACCCCCAAAATTTCAAGTGCAAAGTGGGGTCGAGTGACATGTTATTTGGTAGCTATTTTCATTAAGATTATTTCCCCGAAGTTTTAAGTTGTTACTATTTACCCTGCCGAAATGGCGGTATGTCAAAGTTAGGATAAATGCTTTTTTTCGATAATCTAATCTATGATCTAAACTGTATAGTTTTTACCTGTCACACCTATGCCTAGGTAACAGGTAAAAACCACACAGCATTTTTCCATTGATTTTTCCTAACTTTGACAAGCCGCCATTTCGGCGGGGTACATAGTAGCAACCGTAGCAACTTGAAACTGCGGGGATATAATCTTAATGAAAATAGCTATCAAATGACGTATCACTCGGCCCCCCTTTTCATTTGAAATTTTGGGGGTACCTGTCACCCCCACTTAGGGATCAACAGGTAGAGGATGAAAATACCAATAAAATGTGTTCCACAAAAATTGACGTGTTCGAAGGATCTTTAATTAATCACCTAACACCTGAAAAAACCTGGGTGGGAAGTTTTTCGTGCCCCACCCTGTATAGGTACTTTTGGTCTCATCCTGAATTGGCGTGATTCCGATACGTTGACCTAAAATTCTTCCCCCACTATTTCTAAGAAATATAATTATTTGTTCGACTGAAGATGTCGCAATTTCCTTGATTATTGAAGTTAGGTAATGGATGTCGTAAAAATGTGAGGCCGCATCTATCAAACGATACCGAAAGCTCGTGCCCATAGTGGTGGCACTGAGTCTTGACTGCCCTTAGAACAATTCTCCAGGGAATCCAGCGTCGATTAAAGTTTAAATTTTGACTATTATCGGCTCTAGATTGGCTCCAGGAAAGTTTTCTAGAGAATCAAGAGCCGGTAATACTTCAAATTTTGATTAGACTGTGGCTCTTGATCCATTGGATAATTTTTCTTGGGCCAATAAGAAGCTGAGGAATTTTGATCAATATCAACTATTAAGAGCTGCTACCCAGCAAACATCGAACCATCCCACAGAGGTATCAAAGATATACCTTGAGGTACCTATGCGACTTACACACATTAAATTCCACGAACATCTCAAAGATCGCGCAGGAACTGCCAAATGTCCGCCGCAAGGATATCTTATGTTATATGAAAACCAAACGTCTCATAGAAGATCTAATACTTTTTTCCCTTGTATAATGAATAACTATTATTGATAGGATGTTTCATCTTTCGGTGTTAAAGTTGCTCAATATATTGGGATACGTATAGAATATCATCCATAACTCTTTGGAATTTAGCTAACGCGTTCTTCAAACCAAAGGGCATGCGCAAGAACTTATAATGCCCGTTTTCAGTGCTGAATGTATTTTTTGCGATGTCGTTGTCTAGATCTGATGAGAGCCGCTAGCTAAATCTAAGGCAGTAAAATACTGGCAGCGTCCCAGCTTCTTCAAGAGATCCGTTATGTTGGGTAATGGGTATCTGTCAAACTGTTATAGCAAAAACAACAAAAACATAAAACACACAAGTTTGATATAAAAATAAATAGTTAGGAATGTTAGGATCTGGAACAAAATCACTACGGGAGCTCAAGCCTCCATTGCCTTCATAGTTCCGGCGCCTATGTTGATGTAGGCTGTTTAAACAGCTGACGTTGGAATTGATGAAACACCAATATGGCGGCGATTACCAAAAACGAGGCCGATAAGCAATCCTGTAGGTTTGTATTATCCCTGGTTTGCCCTCATTAATAGAAGTCTCAGAAATACCGTAAAAAGACCAAAATTTCGCGCCTGCGGCGCTTTGTTCCGGCTCCCCTCAAGACAAAATCCTGGCTACGCCAATGGTGCTGCCGAAGCCAAGTATAGCTGAGCTACCGAAAATGCACGAATTTTAATAATATGCAGGGACGCAGATAGTTCCTTAAATTATAAATGTCTCTAAAATATCCTGCGGACGACTCAACGTAATATAACAAAAGGACAGGCATGAGACATTTCAAAGTGGCAATTAGAATTCTTCAGTACTTCTTTTCATTGTAACATAACAATATCTGCAGCGGATTTATAGAAAGAACATCGCAAAACTGCCTGTAGATGTTTCGTACTTGCTGGGTAATGATCATTCGAAATTTTTATTATCATTATTGGCTCTTGAGAATTGAATACCTACCCTAAGGAAAATTTTCTAACGAATACAGAGTTGATAAAAGTTCTTATTTTCACTATTACCGGCTCTTTGATTGGCTCCAGGAGAGTTCTCCAGAGAATCAAGAGACGGTAATACCTAATTCAAGTTTTGATTATTTGTGCCTCTTTCTAAGTTAGTAAACCACCAAATTTTCATAAAATTCGTAGGTATTCTTCACATATCGACAGTTGATAGTGGTTCATTGAGTCAAAGGCAGTAGAAAAAACTTTGTACATACCTCCGGAGGAAAATGCTTTTCTTTCCATTGTATATAAATGGCTATTTTTATAAATCTCTCACCTTGTCCCGACAATTTAATTACTTCAGCCTTGCTTTTAATGTCTTGCCAATGCCGATTTCAAGGACTCATCTTCAGATTCAGTAACCTCGTGACCTGAAGCTGACTCAAAACACTTCCGAAACCACCTCTCATTGAATTCAGAACATCATGCAAGCATATCCCTCTATAAAGTTACCAATTGCAAAACTATTTTCTATGTAGTTCCTCCAGAAACCTTCTGATAGTACATTCTAAACTAAAAACTATAATTTGCGCTTCATTCAACTGTACCCCAATCCACATTTACTTTCAGAAAACACTCCCCTTGCATTTCAAATGAAAATTCCAGGATCCTTTTATTCATTTCCATTTTATAGGATTCCAATCCAGAATCATCTGCTCTCCTAGAAAATGGCCAACCCGAAACTAAAGCCAAAGCCGAATGGGTTAAGCTACGTAAGCGCGGCTTATTTTCCAGCCAGTACTTACACAACGAAGACGATCCAATTCATACCGGCTACGAAATCACCGACCCCGGAACCCCGATGATGGTCAAGTACAATGACGGTTGGTACTCGCGCTCGCAAATGGGTTCCCGTTTGTCGCTGAACTCCAACAAAAGCAAAAGTTCTAAGCCGGGTTCTAAGCCGATTTCCTCGAAACCCTCTACGACTAATTTGCCGGAATTTGGACGAGGAGATGAGACAACGTCGCAAAAGAAACGAAGAATTTCATCAATCAATAAACCTGCTATAGTCGAAGAAATCGAGCCTCATGAAGAAAATTTGAGTTTGCCCAAAGAAAACAAGGTGCTTCAAGAAGCTGCAAATATTTTAAGAGAGTACAAACAAGTGCAAAAGAAAGAAGGCGAAATTTCAAAAATAATTCACGAAGAAGTGCCAAACAACAACAAAAAATTAACAATATGCGAAAAGATTTCGATTTTTTTCGGATTCGAACTGTTCAAAGACCCAGTCTACGTTAATCTGATGCTGGGCATTACAGTTGCCAACTTTGCCGAACTAAATTTTTCCATCCTCACGCCGATGGTACTCAAAGAGTTCAATTTTGGCGAATACGAAACTGCTTCGTTTATGTCCTTGTTGGCCGCCACCGACATCGTAGTCCGATTTTTCATACCGTTTATCGCCGACAAGATTGGTTGGGACAATAAGACCTTCTTTTTAATTGGAGTACTTGCTATGGCATTCGGAAGAATCGGTAATAAATTCATAATAATTATTTGAAGTTTTCCAATTTCTTGTGTTAGTTTTAGTCCATACGCAAACTTACATCTGGAGTCTAGTTGTGGCAGTTATAATTGGAGCAGGTAAAGGATTAAGGACAATCTTCATTGCTCTGGTCATTCCTTCTTACGTGCCATTGGAAAAGTTACCAGCTGCTTCTGGATTGCAATTGGCCACCAGCGGAATTTTATTCATCATACTTGGACCAGTTGTAGGTTCGTATATTGTTCTTGTATTGTTTTTACATCATAATGCCCAGTTGTTTCTTAGGTTGGGTACGAGACGCAGTCAATAATTACGTCGTCACGTTGCACCTGCTCAATATTTGTACTTATTTTACTGCGGTTGCCTGGATTGTTGAGGAACTGGTTTCGAAACGACGAAAGAATAACGAGGAGAAAACGAAGAAGTCGTTTAAAATGACGAATTTATAAGTTTTTGAGAGACGATGATTTTTTGTATCATTAAAAAATGTTATTTTTGTGTTTTTTTTTCTAATTTGTTTAATTTATTCGAATACCTACTTCCAGGATTTAAATAGCATGCTTGTTTTCAGGGAATAGAGTGGTACTTTTCATCCTTAGGTATTTTCAAAAGTTTTTCAGTGGCAACAGCGAAATAAAACCTCTAGCCATCGGTAACTGAAAGGATTCTTTTCAAATTAGACTGGTATGATGCACATACGTCATCGTCTGGTGCGTTTTGAGGATTTAAAATTTTTTCCAGTTTTGAAGTGCCTGTCTTACATACACATGAAAATTGAAAATCCTCTAAAATTTGGAACACTTGAATCCAGAACTGCAGGATTAATAAAGTAAAATCAGATCAGTAATATTAAACAAAATATATTCAAAATAGAACTTGTTGTCGGAAATGCGGCTGAAGTTTATTATTCCTCACGCCCAACTTGGCCATATATTTTGACTGCATCCGTTTCATAAAATGAATATCTCTGGCCTTTCGCGCAGCTGCTTTTTGTTCAGTGGCCGTCCAACCCAAGGCTCTATAACTGGCCAAAACCTTGTGCAACTTTTTATCGCTTTTCTTTACCACCACTGCTTTATTAGGATTGGCGCTCTGTTTGTAGTATTTCATCAAGCTTCTATGTCCCACCGTCACACCAGAAGGCAACACCAACTGATAATCTGAGCCATCTAATTCTGGAACAGAAACTTCTTCTTCGGCCTTGGTTTCGTCACCATCTGGATATGAAGTGGAGTAGTCGTAGAAGTCAGCATATTCGGCCAATGCTACGCCTTCGTGAATCATTTTGCAATGACCTTTGTCCAGCATATGCGCCCGAACAGATTCGGCAGAATGGAAAGTTTTGCCGTTTTCGTTGCACCACAAGCAAATGAAGCCTTCGGAGATTTTTTCTCCCAAATAATGCAGCAAAGCTTCAAGGTCTGTGCAGTATTCAATGTCCGGAATGAAAAACGAATGAGCTACTGTCATGTGATCCAAATTTTTAATGAAACTGTTGCTGTGATAAGAGCAGAACAAGCAATCGTTGTTATCAATCGGATTATAGATTTCGAATTCACTGTCGTCAGAGTCAAGTTCTTCAATTTGTTTTGAATCTTTATTAGACAAATCCGGTTGTTGAACAAAGCTTTTCTCATTTTCCTTGTGTTTTTTCGAATTTAAATGATTTGTGAACGCGTTGGAGTTGCCGAAAGACTTTCGGCAAATTTCACAGTAAACGTTTTGAGGTTGGAGCGCTTTTCCGTCAGCTTCGCGCTGGTTCAGGACACGAATTTGAAACTCCTCGCTCGTGACTGGCGGTAGTTCGGCCACTTTACGTTTCAGGTTGTATCTGGAAAAAAAAAATAAACTCGAATTATTAACTAGACATTTTTTAATAACAGTGGATAATCGCTATAAGGTATGTTCAAACTGTCCCATAAAAGATTTCGAAACCACTCAGTATCCGAATTTCGGATTTTACGTTTTGCGCAGAATCGTGACGGTACATTGTACGGTTTCTGGCCGTGTTGGGACAAAGCTAATAGGAGCCCCATTCTCAACATTTTTGTGTGGAGAGGCAAGTCCGCATAGAGTCCGCTGCACGGAAGATGTAAAACAACACCCGAAGGAAGGAGGACAGAAAGCAAATGCAATCAAAAATCTAAGCACCTAGCAAGGACCGACCATACGATGAACAAATACTAAAGGTTTGTTCTCACATAATTCACAAACCAGTCAGATAAACAATGAAGGCTTTCACGGCCGGTCAAATCTAGAAGAAAGTTTTTTCCGGGCTATAATGCTATATGCCTATGGTCGAGTAATATTTCTACCTAACGTTTCGTCTACTGTTGCGCTAGACATTTTCAAAGGCGGCGTGGTAGAGGACGTAGTGTTCTCCGATGGATTTGATGTTGTTGGACCTTGATGAGTTTTCTTATGTTTTCCGGGTCCAACGATAGTGCTCGGACGAGTTGATTGGTTTTTCGCAATATAGAAGCAGTTCACAGCCAGTCACATTCATGATTATCGTTGCGTTTTCTTTATCCGCAGGCAGGACTAGTATGATCTTATCTGTATTCAGGCTGCGAATAACTTTCCTTTCCTCGTATGTCAGATTGAACTTTGGAGGTTTCGCTAGTCGTAAAATCCTAGATATTTCTTTGCGTATTTCCTCTTCAGTGGTTTGAGGTAATGTGCGTATGCTAGCTTCCACATTTGCTATGATGTCTTCGAATGGCAGGTCTTTCGGTGTTATTGCAAAATTGTCCTCTTTTCTTAGAACACTGGTTTCCGAATCGGTCAAAACGCGTTGGGTCAGGTTGATAACTATGCGATCATTGCCTATGGGTTTCACTGTGTTCAATGGTTTCGGTTTCAAGTTTCAAGGACTCAAACTTATTTACCAGTTTCTTGATGGTTTTTGCTAGTGTGGCTTCCATCACGTCATACGTCATTCGGTCAATTTTGTCCCAGTTACTCCAATGCACGCTATTGGATAACCTTTGGTTTATCGATAAAATATCCTTATCCATAGCTGCTAGGTCTTTTCTTGTTTGGTGAATCTATTCCCGAAGCAAGGCTCGTTCCGCTCGTTCGAAAATTCAGTTCGATTTTACCAACGTCACAAAACTATGATTGTTGGCGATTTGTATCAATCAAAAACGCTCTGTGCCGGTATTTATGTTTTCGAAAACGCTCACCGCTTTTCAATCGCTCGGCACTTTTTATGTAAATTCGCATCAAAATTGACGAGCGACTAAAAGCCGGTGAGCGTTTTCGAGAACGAAAATACCGGCCGACTGGTTTGTGATTTCTAATCTGTGGATTTCTATGAGAACAGACCCTAAAGCTTGGTTCATATAGGGTGTTCATTTGTACTTGCTCTACTTGTAAAATCAGGAAGATCTGCTTGGAGCTGCTATTGAAGATCTTTCAATTGGAACAAGTAAACGCCGATCTACTCTTGAGAGCTGCTTGAAGCAAGAAAAGCAGTACAAACGAACATCCAGTAGGAGCGAATCACAAATTGCGAATGGAGGCGGCACAAATGCATTGTTGTCAAACTTGTCGCATTCTTTCGGTCCTTTATCTTTGATGCTGCAAACTATAAAGTCCAACAAATACCATTTTAAAGTCACGTGATTTTTCTCCATCCTTGTTGAATACATCTTGAACAGCGGTGACAGAAAAATTGAAAAAAAATTGTTGTCTAATTATTGTTCATATTATTTTTACCTGAAATAGAATCCGTCACTGTCATGAATTAGTTTGTCAGAGTTATTTTCGAAAATGATACAAAGAACAAACACAGCTAATAATTTTGACTATATTAACCATTTTCCAACTTGAAAAGAAGCAAATAGAAAACAGGTATCCAATTCAAGTTCAGAATGTATTACAACGGACAAACGATGCGACAAAAGTGAGTCTCGCAACAATTGCAAGTATTAAAATTCCCATCTGATTGGTCAATACTACTTCAGAAACGCGTTTGTAAAATGCTAGTGGGAACATATCCTTAAATTCAATAGCAATTAACCACCAGTAGGTTTTTGTAGGTGATATCAACGACATAATCATAATGAACATACGTTTTTTGCCACCAATATCACGTGACTTTAAAATGGTATTTGTCGGACTTTACCTACATCGATTAACAGCAAACTTCCAAAACTTTGATTTTTCCTTAAACTTGGCAACACCGGATAGAGGAGGGCTTATCGAAACGATATGGGAATCAACAAAACTTGAGATAGGAAAACTTGAGAAATAGAGAGAATAAATGTAAGAAAAATTGAGAAATTATTGGTAGATGTTCACTCATCCATTCGTATTTTTTTTATCCCAGGCTCTTGAATGTTTTTTTATTTCAACAAATTCAAGAGCCAGGAATAGACATAAATTGAGAATTTCTACCAAAAATATTGGACTAGATTGACTAGAACTAGAGGAGAGGTCTATAAACCTAGCAGTCCCAAGGTGGAAAAAAAACTTCGGGAACTAATAATTACGTGCTTTTTAGGTGCTAATTAGGGCCTCTAATTAAAAATTAGTGCTCCTTTAGTTTTTGAGAAATTCAAAAAAAACTAAGGGATGGCTAGGTTTATAAAAGCTAGCAGTCCCCTATAGTAAAAAATATATTTTCAAATTTCTTCTTTGTATCAGAATTAGGTGCTTTTTAGGTGCTCCTAAATAGTCCAAGAAAAAATAGAATTGATAAATTATTAACTGAGTTACAGATTTTTTTTCAATTATTAGGGGACTGCTGGCTTTGCGTTTACATGTTGGTGTGTCAGAAAGGAAAAAAACTTCGGGATCTATACAGGGTGTTATTAAATAGTGGGATCAAACTTCTAGGAATAATAGTACTCATTAAATTAATAAAAAACTGAATGGAAAAATAGGTCCGTAAATGCTTAGTTTTTCGACATACAGAGTGTCAAAGCTTGAAAAAAATCAGTTTTTCAAAATCCGCTTCCCAAATTTCTTTAAACTTTGCAGATTTGTTTGTTATAACAAAAGGCATCTTTTGACTCAATAAGGTTTACCGTTATTATTCTAGTAGCTCCCCAAAGAGCAACTACGTTTATAAAAGTAGGGAAAAAATGGCATGTCAACTTTTATATTTTTTTCTCATATTAAGAAAGTCATATAACAGTCAAAGGATACCTTTTGTTATCACAAACAAACCTACCAAATTCGAAAAAAAAACTGGAAAAGGGATTTTTGAGCTAAAAAAACGATTTTTTTTTCAAACATTGACACCCTGTATCTTGAAAACTAAGCATTCGCGGACCCATGTTTCCATTAACTTTTTTCTTATTTCAACGAGAGCTATTTATCCTAGAAGTTTTATCCCACTATTCATTAACACCCTGTATAATAATTAGGTGCTTTTAAGGTGCTAATTAGGGCCTCTAATTAAAAATTAGGTGCTCCTCTATTTTTTGAGAAAATCAAAAAAAACTAAGGGATTGCTAGGTTTATGGAAGCTAGTAGTCCCCTATAGTAAAAAATATTTTTCTAAAATTTTCTTTGGTATCAGAATAAGGTGCTTTTTAGATGCTCCTAAATAGTCGAAGAAAAAATAGAATTGATTAATTATTAACTGAGTTACAGATTTTTTTTAATTATAAGGGGACTGCTGGCTTTACGTTTACTTGTTGGAGTGTCAGAATGGCAAAAAAGCTTCGGGATCTATATAATAATTAGGTGCTTTTTAGGTGCTAATTAGGGCCTCTAATTAAAAATTAGGTGCTCCTCTAGTTTTTGAGAAAATCAAAAAAAAACTAAGGGATTGCTAGGTTTATGAAAGCTAGTAGTCCCCTATAGTAAAAAATATTTTTCAAAAATTTTCTTTTGTATCAGAATTAGGTGCTTTTTAGGTGCTCCTAAATAGTCGAAGAAAAAATAGAATTGATTAATTATTAACTAAGTTACAGATTTTTTTTTTAATTATAAGGGGACTGCTGGCTTTACGTTTACTTGTTGGTGTGTCAGAATTGCAAAAAAACTTCGGGCCTGATGATGATGAATTGAGTGTTTTTAAGGTGCTAATTAGGGCCTCTAATTAAAAATTAGGTGCTACTCTAGTTTTTGAGAAAATCAAAAAAAAAATAAGGGATTACTAGGTTTATGAAAGCTAGTAGTCCCCTATAATAAAAAATATTTTTCCAAAATTTTCTTTTGTATCAGAATTAGGTGCTTTTTAGGTGCTCCTAAACAGTCGAAGAAAAAATAGAATTGATTAATTATTAACTGAGTTACAGATGAGCCACTTTAGTCCTTCTCAACAGGGTAAAGTATATCATACACCCTTTACAGATTAAAGTACAAACTTTGACAGGGACTAAAGTGCATCATACAACCCTCCTATAGGGACTAAAGTACAAAACTTTACTAGTAAAATGTCTAATTAGGAAATCATAGAAAATACAAATTTTTTACCTATGCCAATCAGATTTGTAATGCGACCTTTGGATTTCGGGGTCTCTGAAAGCGACCCTGCACGATATACACGTCAACGCGTCTTTACTTATTTCGGACATTTTTATCGTTGGTTTTTTAATTTAATTTTACTACTTTTTATAATAATCAGCCCAAAAATAATCAAAAATGTGTTTGGAATTTTGGATTTCACTGCCACTGGATTAAATTTAGGTTATGTTATGATTGCACTCGAAGAAGATTCTTTGGAGTAATGAGTAAAGAGGTTTCATTTTTATCTCTTTCTTATACAAGCTGATAGAAAAAGACATGTATACACTCAGTACTTTCCATTAGATTTCACCATAAATGTCAAAAAGTAAAACTTAACCTAACAAAATTTTATCTGTCAGAATCAGAAAAGAGTTTCTCGGTGGGGCTTCTTGGTTTTGGGGCCGTTTTTCTACACTTTTGAGGCAAATTTCAACAAACCCCAGGTGAAAAACCGACTATTGGCAGCTTAAACCAACCAAAATCAAGTATTTTCCTAAAAATCAAATAAATGAAAAATTTATTCTCGTTACATAACAACCTTAAATTTTCCAGGTAAAAAATGGGTCACGGTTTCGGGCATTTATGGAAATTCCGGGGCATCATCACTTACAGGCTGTCCCCGTTTGAATTGAAACCTTTCGCAGGTGCTATTTCCCATGGTTTTCCCAATACTGCACGTAGAATACTCGAGAGTATACCCTATTCCGTACCACGTAAGTTTTTTTACTTTGTTTCACTATTAAAATGGGCCTAAAATGTATTTTTCTTTCTTTCTAGCACTAGCCATAGGCTACCTTGTCTATGACTGGGTAGAGACCGAGCACCACAGGCTCATGAAAAAGAATCCTGCAGATTTTGCCAATGATAAATGAATACTTTGATTTTTATTTAAGTATACACCTTTAGCTATTCCTAGTACAATAAAATAATTAAAAATGATTTTTTAATGTTTTTATATTTTCTCAAAAGCCTTAAGAAGTATACCTACCAATCCCATGACTTGAAAATTTCAGCTTTCTATCTATAATAGAAAAAAAGTTATGACTTTTCAAAATTTTCGGAAATTCATGTTCAAAATGGTCAAATTTCAAAATTTTTTTTTGTCTTTGAAACACCTCTAATGTTGCTGTCTAATGTATGTTTACTTTTCTTACTAATTTCCTTCACTAATAGCCCTTGAAGATTTCCAAACCTGGATTAATAGTTCTTGTCTATCTCATTTCACATCCAAAGATGACTTTTCCGACTTATTTTCAACACCCCATGAGGTGAAAAGACTAATAACATACATAGTTATTTTCCACATAAGTGTGCAAAGTGATACGTTTCCTGCACACAAAAGCAGTTAAGAAAAATTCCCAATAATCTTGAATTGCAAATACTCTTTACCCCATCTAGGAAACAAAACAAATTTGTATGTAAAAAATTTATAATAAAAAACACTAATTAGATTTTGCTTCATGTTCATCCAAAGTATATTCATCCCCACTACTGTCACTATCCTCTTCTTCCTCTTCACTACTGCTGCTATCCTCATCTCTCACAGGCCTGTTGGTGTTTTCAAACAAATCAGATTCCTCATCTTTGTTATCTTCTTCCTTTCCATTTGTAAATTCTTTAGGCCAAACATTGTCTTTTTTAAAATACTTCTGATGTTCTTTCGTCAAAATCCTAACAATTTCCGCTTTAACTTTGTCACCTTCTTCTATGGGTTCGACTAGCACAAAATCGCCACGTTTCACCCACACGTTTTTACGGAATTTCGTCGGCATTGAAGCTAGGAAAGTGGATTTATCTGCGGATTCGACTTCGTGTAAATTATTGCCCTTACTGCTAACGATTTTGACAATTTGCTGAGTTGGAGTAGGAAGTGAATAGTCATCTTGTAAGGCTTCAAGGAGGACGTGTTTGCGTTTAGTTGCTCTTGACATGATTTAGTGCCTGGAATTAAAGAAAAATTATTTGTTTTAAAAAAATATCCAAAAATTGTCCACCCCAATGCCCACTATCTCTTGTCTGTCTGCTGACTATTCCACCAAGAATACTGTCCATTGGCTTTTTCAATAGCCTTATAAATATCCAAGGCCTCTCCAGTCCCTATTCCATATCCTTTATGCAATCCGTGAGGATTACTTGGAGTCACACAGTCATTGTCGCATTCTTTTCTTAGCACTTTATCTACTTCGACGCTTGAAAAAAACGCTACCGAATGTGGTAAGTCGTTGAGGCCTAATTTCGTTACACAAAAACTTCGCGTCATTAAGTTGGCAACGTGCAGTGCAAGCGCTGCTTGATATTTGTATCGATCAGGCACTAAATAGCGCACTTCATCGTGGAAGCTTATGCAGAAACGGATCTTGTCACCCATAATCCATTTCATGCAGCTGAGCATCAGATGCAGGAAATCCACCGCTCCCGATTGGACTACCCAATTGACTCGTGTAGTCAAATATTTGCCATCTTTAATTTCCAAAGCTCTAGTAAGACGGCCATTCAAAAATGGGGTTGTAGGTTGCGGACTATTGGCAATCTGTTCCAAGCGGTTGAACATTGCTGACTCTGTTCCTCCTACCCACTTGGTATCCACAAACATTTCCTCCAAGGTTTTATTGTGCAATTTTGCCATTTCGAACGCTTGCCATTTGCCAAAATAGCGATTTTCTGGAAAATCTATTAAATATTCTGGTCTTAGTTCGTAAATCTTTTTGCCTTTGGTCAAATTGAACATTTTTTGAGCTTTGCTGCGTGCCTCCGATTGGCTCATTGCGGGATTGAATTGGGCCAATAGGCGTTCGGCAAATTGTTGACCTGCACCATAAATACGAGCGTAATTGATTACTTTGGCGTGATTGCGCGATATTCCAACTGCTTGAGCTGTGACGCTGTGCATGTCAGTGTTTTTGGCTTTAGTACCAGACAATGTCATCCAACCCAAGGGAGTGGAACCGTGAGTTTTAGCGTGGTGAGCGTCACCTGCAACCAAACAAATGTTTTTGACAAAATTTCATAAGCGAATTATGCCCACCTAGCACGCTGGCAATCCACAATTCTTGCGAATCAACATCCGCTCCTACAATACTGTATCCAGGTGGTGCTTGGACCATGGCACGGAGTTCGCTACCTACTCGTTCCTTATCAGCATTCGACGCTGTCATCCAAGTGGGTTCCATGGCTCTACGCGTCAAAGTCCCACAAACAACCACTTGAGGAATAATTGCTCCAAAATTCATTCCTGATTTTTCAATAATAATTATTAAAATTAATCAAAAATCATCATAGGTATCTGACCTGAATTTTTCATCACACCTGGCAGGTCTTCCTCACCCAACCATAAGACCATTTGTTCTAAAATCCTTGCACGATTGTTGCGCCAATAAGACAACTTGCGGGCAATTGACAAAACCTCTTCGGCGCTGACAGAGTCTCCAGCCAAAACGTTTTCAGAGAATTTTGTTAGAAAATCTTTAGCCAAAGGATTGCCTACATTATGACTGGCACCGTCTTTGTGGGGAAGCTTGAAAAACCAGCAACAATCTTCTATTTCGGTGTTGCACCATAGGCCAGAACCTTGTAGATACATTGTTGATTATAGTTTTTTTTTTTGGAATTTGCATCAACTCACCCTTATACAATCCTCCTGTTTTATCTTTTTTCAACCTATTATAAAACTCCTTTTTCATCAAATGCTCATCCACACTTTTGACAATATTTTTCAACGCTTCTTTCCCATTGACCTCATTGTCACGTTTCTCATTCAACAACGGACACTTTTCCAACAATTGCTTCAAGGGTAGCTTGCGGGCATAGTCGAGGTCATCGGAAAATGGTACCAGAAACCCCCACCCTTTGTCTTTTAAATAGTGAAGAGGGAAACCCTCCCAAGTGAGCGATAAAAGTTTAGGGGTAATTTTCATGGAGGTGCTGAGCAAGTGAGGACCGGGAACCCAATCGTCGGGAGCTTGGTCGAATTTAGTGCACAGTTTTCTGTACCTGAACCAAAATGACTGCATATTATCAATTTCCAATTATTATCATGCTGGTAGTAAGCATATCAATTTGACTTTATATTCATAGATAGGTGTGTATTAACTTAGGATTTTTATTTGGATTGTAAAAAAACGAATTCAACAGGTTTTGAACTTTATTTCATAGAAATGCGAGTAGGAATGTATCCAAATTTCAAATTTCCAAGAATGATTCATCACCACAGATAGACAAAACATTAGGTTTGTTCCAACCCGTCAAAAAACCGTCCCAGAACGGTTTTGGAACCACTATGTATACGAATTTCAAAAACCTAAATTTGATTTGAAGCCTCAAATCAACTTTAAATTAACTTTTCTACAAAGAGGAAACTTCAATTCATAAATCCTAAAAGTTTCAAGTCACTGTGATCATGAAGTGATTTTTGCAGATTTTAATAATTTTTATATGCAATAATGTGAGAAAAGACTTCTAAATTTGATTTGTAGCTTCAAATCAACTTCAAATTAACTTTTCCACAAAGGGAAAGCTTCATTTCATAAATCCTAAAAGTTTCAAGTTAGTTTGATCCCTAGAAGTATTTTGCAAAAGTGATTTTTGCAGATTTTAGTCATTTTTACATGCATTAACGTAGAAAAAGCTTCTGAAGTTGATTTGAAATGCCGGAAATTAACTTTTCCACAAAGAGAAAACTTCAATTCATAAATCCTGGAAGTTTCAAGTCACTCTGATCATTGGAAGTATTTCGCACAAGTGATTTTTGCAGATTTTAATAATTTTTGCTTGCAATAACATGAGAAAAAGCTTCCAAATTTAATTTGAAGCTTTGAAGCAACTTCAAAATAACTTTTCCACAAAGAGGAAACTTCAATTCATAAATCCTGGAAGTTTCAAGTCACCGTGATCATTGGAAGTATTTCGCACAAGTGATTTTTGCAGATTTTAATCATTTTTGCTTGCAATAACATGAGAAAAAGCTTCCAAATTTAATTTGAAGCTTTGAAGCAACTTCAAATTAACTTTTCCACAAAGAAGAAACTTCAATTCATAAATCCTGGAAGTTTCAAGTCACTGTGATCATTGGAAGTATTTCGCACAAGTGATTTTTGCAGATTTTAATCATTTTTGCTTGCAATAACATGAGAAAAAGCTTCCAAATTTAATTTGAAGCTTTGAAGCAACTTCAAATTAACTTTTCCACAAAGAGGAAACTTCAATTCAGAAATCCTGAAAGTTTCGAGTCACTCTGATCATTGGAAGTATTTCGCACAAGTGATTTTTGCAGATTTTATTCATTTTTGCTTGCAATAACATGAGAAAAAGCTTCCAAATTTAATTTGAAGCTTTGAAGCAACTTCAAATTAACGTTTTCACAAAGAGGAAACTTCAATTCATAAATCCTGGAAGTTTCAAGTCACCGTGATCATTGGAAGTATTTCGCACAAGTGATTTTTGCAGATTTTAATCATTTTTGCTTGCAATAACATGAGAAAAAGCTTCCAAATTTAATTTGAAGCTTTGAAGCAACTTCAAATTAACTTTTCCACAAAGAGGAAACTTCAATTCATAAATCCTGGAAGTTTCAAGTCACTGTGATCATTGGAAGTATTGCGCACAAGTGATTTTTGCAGATTTTAATCATTTTTGCTTGCAATAACATGAGAAAAAGCTTCCAAATGTAATTTGAAGCTTTGAAGCAACTTCAAATTAACTTTTCCACAAAGAAGAAACTTCAATTCATAAATCCTGGAAGTTTCAAGTCACTGTGATCATTGGAAGTATTTCGCACAAGTGATTTTTGCAGATTTTAATCATTTTTGCTTGCAATAACATGAGAAAAAGCTTCCAAATTTAATTTGAAGCTTTGAAGCAACTTCAAATTAACTTTTCCACAAAGAGGAAACTTCAATTCATAAATCCTGAAAGTTTCGAGTCACTCTGATCATTGGAAGTATTTCGCACAAGTGATTTTTGCAGATTTTATTCATTTTTGCTTGCAATAACATGAGAAAAAGCTTCCAAATTTAATTTGAAGCTTTGAAGCAACTTCAAATTAACGTTTTCACAAAGAGGAAACTTCAATTCATAAATCCTGGAAGTTTCAAGTCACCGTGATCATTGGAAGTATTTCGCACAAGTGATTTTTGCAGATTTTAATCATTTTTGCTTGCAATAACATGAGAAAAAGCTTCCAAATTTAATTTGAAGCTTTGAAGCAACATCAAATTTACTTTTTCACAAAGAGGAAACTTCAATTCATAAATCGTGAAAGTTTCGAGTCACTCTGATCATTGGAAGTAATTCGCACAAGTGATTTTTGCAGATTTTAATCATTTTTGCTTGCAATAACATGAGAAAAAGCTTCCAAATTTAATTTGAAGCTTTGAAGCAACTTCAAATTAACGTTTTCACAAAGAGGAAACTTCAATTCATAAATCCTGGAAGTTTCAAGTCACCGTGATCATTGGAAGTATTTCGCACAAGTGATTTTTGCAGATTTTAATCATTTTTGCTTGCAATAACATGAGAAAAAGCTTCCAAATTTAATTTGAAGCTTTGAAGCAACATCAAATTTACTTTTTCACAAAGAGGAAACTTCAATTCATAAATCGTGAAAGTTTCGAGTCACTCTGATCATTGGAAGTAATTCGCACAAGTGATTTTTGCAGATTTTAATCATTTTTGCTTGCAATAACATGAGAAAAAGCTTCCAAATTTAATTTGAAGCTTTGAAGCAACTTCAAATTAACTTTTCCACAAAGAGGAAACTTCAATTCATAAATCCTGGAAGTTTCAAGTCACTGTGATCATTGGAAGTATTGCGCACAAGTGATTTTTGCAGATTTTAGTCATTTTTGCTTGCAATAACATGAGAAAAAGCTTCCAAATTTAATTTGAAGCTTTGAAGCAACTTCAAATTAACTTTTCCACAAAGAGGAAACTTCAATTCATAAATCCTGGAAGTTTTAAGTCACTGTGATCATTGGAAGTATTTCGCACAAGTGATTTTTGCAGATTTTAATCATTTTTGCTTGCAATAACATGAGAAAAAGCTTCCAAATTTAATTTGAAGCTTTGAAGCAACTTCAAATTAACTTTTCCACAAAGAGGAAACTTCAATTCATAAATTCTAAAAGTTTCAAGTTAGTGTGATTCTTAGAAGTATTTTGCACAAACGATTTTTGGAGATTTTAAGCATTTTTACATGCCTTAACGTAAAAAACGCTTCTAAATTTGATTCGGCGTTTCAAATTAACTTCGAATTAACTTTTCCATGAAGAGGAAAGTTCAATTCATAAATCCTGGAAGTTTCACGTTACTGTGATCATTAGAAGTATTTCGCACAAGTGATTTTCACATATTTTATTCATTTTTGCATGCATTAACGTAAGAAAAAGCTTTTAAATTTAATTTGAAGCTTCAAAGCAACTTCAAAATAACTTTTCCATAAAGAGAAAACTTCAATTCATAAATGTTGAGGATTAAAATCACTGTGATCATTGGAAGTATTTTGCAGACGTTAATCATTTTTACATGCATTAATGTGAGAAAAAGTTTCTAAATTTAATTTGCCGCCTCAAATCTACTTCAAATTAACTTTTCCACAAAGAGAAAACTTCAGTTCATAAATTCTGAAGGTTTCAAGTCACTGTGATCATTGGAAGTGTTTTCCACAAGAGATTTTTGCAGATTTTAATAATTTTTACATGCATTAACTGATTAATTCAAAATCTCATTTTCAAAAATTCACTCCACATTGCTTAACACAATTCTATCTCAAGAACTATACTTAAGTCCAAATAAGTTCAAATGTTTAGGAATCGAAGCTCTCCATGAGGACAAGAATCATTGAAAATTTCAGCTTTCTATCTATGATAGAAAAAATGTTATGTATGAATTTATCCATTTGAAACAGCATCAGCAATACCAATATTGTTCAAGAGAGGCATTCATAGAGTCCAATATCCTTTACTATTTTACCTATAAACATGTTGTCCTTGTCAACACAATAAATTTTATTTTATTAATAAATGCTCCATCTATCTGTGGTAATAAATCAGAATTCCTTTATTCAAAAAAGCTTCTAGAACCACACATCAATAGACTCACCAGTTAGGATATCCTGGCAACAAAGTTTTAACTTTTGGCAACAGCTCCCTAGTCTCCCACAAATCCCGAAATTTCTCTTCCAACTCATCCACTTCTTCATCTTCCTCTTCTTTTTTCATCGCTTCCTCCACCTTTCCAACACTCTTCTTAAAACTACTCTTCATTTTAATTGATTTCACATCCCAATCTTCATCCCACATCCACAAATCCTCTTTGAACTCTTCATCGTGCAACAGCTGACAAGCTTCGTTGGCTTTCTGAGCTAAAATTATGCGACTTTCGTGCTCCAAGTCTTCAAATGCTTGCTCACTATCTCCCAAATACCTTGTCCAGTTGCTGTTTATTGGCAAGTAGGCTGTGCCTAGTTCTAACATTCCGCTTAGAGTAACTGGATGTGGAAATCTATCCAGAAAAAGTGGAAATAATTCTTTAACAACATTGTAGGTAGCAGTGACATCTCCTGAACAATATTTCATGCATTTTTGGAAGTCTTCTTTGATGTCTGTGAGGGAGCCTTCAACAAATATATTTCTAGTGTCCTTGCTTAAAGTTTTTTGACAGTAAAGCTTATAGACATCAGCCAAATTATTAAGGGAGCTATTTTTAGACAAATATTCATCATCTTCATTGAGCTTTGAGGATTTCATGATGGCTCTTTGATAGCTAGTTAAACCAGACACACTTATATGCAAACTCATGGTGTCTAGAAAACGAGTTTTGGATTTCTCAAGCAAATATTGCTCTTTTATTCTTGCACGGTCATAAGACACGTTATGACCAATGATAATTTTGGGATTTTGACTTTCCAAGGGAATCAAACCACTTAATTGGCAATTGCTTATAGTGTTTGATGAATTATCAATCAACAATTCACTCACCCACCCGTACCAAGCTTTATTACTCACAGCTGTGGCTAAAATAGGCATTTTTCCTGCCATTAGGCAAACTTCTATGTCAAAAACTAGAGCTTCTTCTAAGGGAAAGTCAACTTTTTGAGGCTCTAACCCTGTAATGTAGCGGGTCCAGCCAGGTTGCATTAGCCACTCTTCAGGGGGCTCTGGGATTTTATTTTCAATTAAATCAATTACTAGTTTTTTGTAGTTTTCAGTTTGCTCTTGGCCAATATTCCAGAAATGCTCTTCAATGTTTTTGCCTTTTAGAGGAGGCAATTTGAAGTCTACTTCTGGTAAGATTGTTGAACTATCTACCATTATCTGGTGCTTTTCGAGTTCCTTTTTGCTATGTTCAATGATTTTTTTGTTGATTTTGTCAACATTAGGAGATTCTCCCAAAAAAACTTGTTCGTAAATACGTTTTGAGAGCATTTGAATGCCCATAGCGTTGAGCCTGGGGCCTATTTGTGTAATTTCGCTGCTAGGCACTTTGGGGGCTACTTTTCTTGTAAAAGGGGGCTTTTTATCAGGATTTGGGGCGAATAATTTCACCTTGCTCCTAGGACGAATTTCGTAATAGAGTCTCTTAGATTTGAGCCAGGAATTGAGGCGGAATAGGTCTTTTTTAAGGGGCTTACAGAAGGCCATTGGGGGGCTATTTTTTGAATATTTTTTACCTAGTAAATGCGATTTGAGGATTTTGAAGACCAAAGTAGTAATGGGGACTTACCAATAGGGGCTTTTTGATGTAAATTTGAATATAAATAAAATTCAAAAACACGATTTTGTTGCTTTTTACTTTTTTTTTGAAAATAACCATAACCTTAAAATTTGTTTACATATCGGTGTCTTTTCCTACGAAATGTGCACTGTAACCTTTCACTCGACACTGCACTCGGGCTAAAAAGTGTAACACTTTTAGCTCCTAAGCCAACTACGTTGCGGTTCTACTCCGACCCGATAGTTTCGGTTTCAGTACTGAAATTGAAACAGTTTTCATAAATGGAACTTGCACCGCGCAAAATAACTGTTCCATGTTCCAAAAAAGCTGGAACGCTAGTTGCCCTATATCAAAAACACGAATAGAAATGACTGCTCAGAGTGCTCAGCCAGAATAGACGAAGACGAATACCCGAAATTTTGCTCTGCACCGAATCTATTGCACTGTAAACTGTGATTCGAGGACTTGGTTGGTTGGTTGGTTGCAAGGATAATACACACTACTACTATAAGATAGCCTGTCCTCATAAGGCCTGTGTAAAACAAATCTGAAGCTCCCCACCCCGCCAAATCACCAGATGTGACGTAGACAGCATGTCGTTTCTCGCTTTGACGTAGACTATTTCCACCACAGGTTATGATTCAGCGAGCTTTTGCTTCATGCATACTTGGTTTTACTGCATTAATAAACATTCTAAAACAATTCCTTTTTAGATCTCGTTTCCATCTTCTTCTTTGCCGATTATGTTAATCAAAATTAAATGATATTTTTCTTCATAAAAATGAGGCCGATAAGCAATCCTTAGTAGTTAGTGTGTATTATCCACTGCAGCCTGCAGACTCCAACTCCGCAGCCGTTCTACACCAACCTGGGGATAGTTCCACTAATCAATTTTGAACAGTTTCCATAAATTGCACCGCGCAGAATGACTTTCATGTTCCAAAAACCCCGAATGCTGCTACTTGCCCCATATCAAACACGGATAGAAATGACTGCTCTTCCCGAATAGTCAAACACCCGAAATTTTGATCTGCACCTAATCCATTGCACTGCACTGTAACCTGTGATCCGAGGAGTGAGGACACTCTTAGGGCAAGTAAGTAGTCGAATACGCTGCTCGTTTTTTAGGGAAGAAAATGCAGGATTCAAGTTTTCATGTGTGTGAATGTTTTATAGGTTTTCTGATTTTCCTGCGAAATTAGTAGCGCTTTCGACTTTTACCTCAAAAACTGCACCCGATTGATCAAAAAGCGATCCGAAACGAATTTACATGTTCGGCTCAAACCGGCGCTTCGCTCTCGGAGAGATTCACGTGTTCGACTTGAGCTATAGAACTGAAGTATAGAATGCTCTCAAATCTCGCACGGAGCGCACTTTTTTGTGCCCTCAAATGCGATGGATCAAAATAGTTTGTTGAAAACTAAAGAGTACGTTCAGCTATTGATTTCAAAGGATTATGATCGCTCTCGGAGCGCTCCTGCAGAGATTTGTGTCGTCATCGCTCAGACGGGGAGCGGTCTGGGAACAGTGTAAAGTCGAATGTTTGATCAAACTCTTTGATCTATCGCATTTAACGGAGCAAGAAAGACTGCTGCGTGCGAGATTTGAGAGCGTTCTATTGCTCAACTCAAACACGTGAATTTCGCCGAGAGCAACGCTCCGTATCAAGCCGAACATGTGAATCTGTCACTTTTTGATCAATCAGGTGCAGTTTTGGGCCTTTGGAGCAAAAGTCGAAAGCGCTAGTTCATGTTATGTTGAACTGCAAAAAAAAAAGTAGGGATAAAGGCGGTTCCACCAAAACCCGATTATTCGAGTATCGAACTAGCGTTTCAAATCTCCCATTTGATAGAACTTGCACCGCCCAGAATCACTGTTCCATGTTCCAAAAATACTCGAACGCAGGTTCTACATCAAAAACCCGAATAGAAATTAAATACTGCTCTGCCTGAATGGTCGAACACTTGAAATTCTGCTCCTTGATGAACTGAATCGACCCGAACACAAATTATTGCACAGTACTGCAAAATGTGATTGAAAGACGCACTTAATGCAAGTAGTCGAATAGTCGAATACGCTGGAGAAGAAAATACAGAGAGGAATCAAGTTTCCACGATTTCACGTGTGTTTTTTTTATAATCGTCTTTGGGTTTCCTAAATGACGGTTGTTCCACGTTCCAAAAAGCTTGCACTCTGTCTGCTTTATTTATATCAAAATCAAAAACCCGAATAGTAGTTACTACTCGGCCCGAATAGTCGAACACTTGAAATTTTGCTCTCTGATGAATCAACACGAATACGAATTATTGTTCTGTACTACATAATTTGCTCCAAAGATGCACTTATAGTGCAGGTTGTCGAATACGTTGCTGGTCTTCTATGGAAGAAAATGCAGGATTCTAGTCTTCATGTGTGTGCGTTATGTTTTATTTCATCTTCTTATTAAACATATGTAGTGAAAGCCGTATTATGTTGAAGTGTTAAAAATTTCAGAGGGCTGGCGGACAAGTAGAATTCTACTTTCATGACGTCACTTTTGACCTATTTATCGCGTACAGTACAGACGATGATGACGGTTTCAAGGCAACCTGACGTCATGGAAGTAGAATTCTACCTGTGATCCCTGCTCACAGAGGTGGATCCCACAGGCACATAGGTAGTTCCACCCCGAGACCAGAATAGCACAGATTACAGAATAGTACTAGTATTGAAATTTGAACTGGCATTTCAAATTTTCCATTTGACAGTCCTTGTTTTTTTCAAATTTGCACCGCGTAGAATCACTGTTCCATGTTCTAAAAAGCTCGATCGCTGGCTGCTCTACATCAAATAGGATGTTCATTTGTACTGCTTTTCTTAGGCACTTTCCAAATTTCACCGATAAATCTACCGGTTAAATAAACCGGTAACTGTCAAAAAATTCCGGTGAAAGTTAGGTGTAAGTACGGTTACAAGATTTTTCTGATCCTTTTTGGAACGCTTTAGTGTAGTGAAGTTTCGTTCTGACGGTTGTGTTGCGATTATTTATTATTATTTAAATAATCCAACCGAAAAAACCGACAAAACTTCCCGGTGGATCCGGTGCCTCACCGGTTTCAAACAGTTGATCATTCCGGTCAATTTTGGAACGGACGATCTGGTTCAAACGGTAAAAAGTCGGTACCTTTCGGAACGGTTTGATTAAACCGGTATTGCACCGATTCAGAAACCGGTGAATTTTGGAAAGTGCCACTTGCTTCAAGCAGATCTTATAGCAGATTGGCGTTCACTTGTCCCATATATTATAAGCTCATAAATAGCAGCTCCTAGCAGATCTTTCTAATTTTCGAGCAGGTAGAGCAAGTACAAATGAACAGCCTAAAAAACTCGAAATCTACCCGAGTACGAATTTTAGTATTGCACTGCAATGTAGAATGTGATCAAGGGAGTGATGACGCAATAGTTGTACTCCTTTCAAGAGTTTGAAACACTCAAGCTACTCGCTCCGGTGTTTAGTAACCCCCGATTTGCAGGGAATAGATGCGTGGTGCAACAAACACTTTTAGGCCCGGTTGTACAATCCAGGTTCAAACAGAGGTTTAGTTGAACTCTACTGGTACTTGAACCTTCCCATTTGAAATGCATTGCTGTCAGAAACATGCCAAAGTGTATATTTTTTGACAGCAATGCATTTCAAATGGGAAGGTTCAAGTACCAGTAGAGTTCAACTAAACCTCTGTTTGAGCCTGGATTGTACAACTGGGCCTTAAGCCTAGTACTCATAACTGCGAAATTCGCATTTTTTTGACATTGCGTTGAAAATTTGACGTTTTATGCGTATATCAAACGTCAAATTGTCGAAGCAATGTCAAAAAAATCCGAATTCCGCAGTTATGAGTACTAGGCTTTAAGCCTAGTACTCATAACTGCGAAATTCGCATTTTTTTGACATTGCGTTGATAATTTGACGTTTTATGCGTGTATCAAACGTCAAATTGTCGAAGCAATGTCAAAAAAATGCGAATTTCGCAGTTATGAGTACTAGGCCTTAGAAAGGAATAAGCGCGTGAAGCCCCGGAGCTGTTCCTGAGCTCCTCCTAGGTGTGAAAGGAATACATCTATTTAGTGCAGGTACTGGAGGTAGTCGAATTCGAATACGCTGCTCCACTTCTAGTTGAGAAAATGCAAGATTCAAATTTTCTCATGTAACAATGATTATGATATTGTAATATAAAACTCAAATTAAAAAAATGAAACAAATTTATTTTACATTAATAATAAACAAGCATAGATAAAATAAAAAAAAAAAAAAAAATATAATGATTTTACATAAATTCATGAAATACAAAATTATTGATTTTTCTTTTACATCTTAAAGCTATTTCAGTAGTGATTATTTACAAAGTTTCAATTTTCAATTTAAATTATCCTCATCATTTGTCCAAAAGACAATTATTTTTAGGAGTTTAGTCCAAGTCCAAAGGGCACGACCAAATCCTCCTTGTGGTCGACCCGAATGTCATTTATCGCGCTGACAGCTGCCAATAGTGATGACGTCATCAAATGACGATCTTCGCGATTCAGCAAATCGCCAGAGAGTATTTTTTCGGGTTGCGGAACATCCTCGAGCAAGCAACTTTTCAAACTATTGGCTAGAGCGCCTTTGTTGCCAGCCAATACCTGATTTATTTTGATGTTGTACATTTTTACTCGTTCTATGTACTCTTGCTGTTGGAGATTGTGCGAATCGATGGCGGCCACGTCAATGACATTTCTAGAAATGGAAATATTCGTTTTTGTCATCTATTTCGTTGATTTGCTCTGAAATTTTGACAGGCACGTGATTTGTAAACTGAAACTGTCTTATCTAGTCACGTGCCTGACAAAATTTTAGAGGAAATCGACAAAAAAGATGACAAATACGAACAGAGGGCCAATATTAGACAATTTTTCGCAGGGATAATCAAGCATAATCTGATTATGCTGGGTTATGTGATGTGTCATACTCCCCTAACTCCCTCTCCATCAAATTTTGGGATTGCGAGTGACGTCACTATTAGCAGCTTATAGTGATGACGTCACCCGCAGACCTTGATGGAAAGCTTGTGATTCAGGCTGTGCTAGTAAGTTAGTTTTTTTGTCGATTTTAAATATAGGAAACGTGGTTTTCACATTTCCAGTCTGTTCTCACTGAAAAAATTAAGTGCTCTTGATCCCCGAGTATCCCAGAATTCAATGCTGGGGGAGTTACGGGAGTATGACACAATTGACACATTACATAATCCAGAAAAGATTATGCTTGATTATCTTCCCAAAAAATTGCCTATTGATGCCTTTTTTTTAGTTAAGAAAGTAAGAATTCTTACGTAGCTGTCTCTTGTAGTATCCTAGTAAGTGCTGATTGTTCGTCAGTCTTTTTGGGGGCGTCATTTGAATTTCTACTTAGAAGATTCTCACTAGAAAAAAAATCGTAACTGTCAAATTATTCAAAAATTTGACAGTTATTAAAGTGACAGTGTATTTTTTAATGCAAAAAATTGACAGCTGTTAATTCAGCTAGTTTTGACAACTGTAAAAATTATGTGCTCAATGTTTTTGTGATGACGTAATAACTCATTTTGAATCTGCCTTAACTGTTTACAGCTGTCAAAGTTGAATACAATCAAGATCAAAGTTTCTGGTTAACGGGTTAACCCTGCGTTTTTATTCCCATCAAATTTTACCAATGAATCCACCATTCTATGGCGGTCATTGTCATTTTCCATTCACTAAACAAAGATAGCTAATTCATTGGTGAAGTCACTGACAAGAATAAAAACAAGGAATAATTTTGAAAAATCCTGGAGTTAACCAAGGATTAACAGTTCAGTAACCTTTTTAGTTTGTAATTCTTGTTCTGACACGCCCTAGAAGCCGTATCCAATGATATGGTTAAAATTAAAAATTAACAAAAATTACAATTTTTTTTCTGTTCTTACCTGCTAACCCTCTGTATATGGATGTTATTCGATATGGGGTCGACTAGTAAGTGTGTCCTTTCATTGGGTTCACCGTTCTGGGTGATAAAAACAGTGATAAAATTTAACGATAAGCATAAATCAACAAAGTACCTACAAAGGCAAAGAATTCGTTGTGACGTATTACCTGTGAAGAGTTGTCATCTTTGCATAGCAAACTCCAGCAACATCCCATTATTTACTAATTTTTTACTGATTTTAGCACCGTTTTTTCTCAATTTTTATGAACTTTATTGTTTATAAAACACCCATTTGTATTTTTTTATTTTTTATTTATATTCGTTGGCTGGCAAGTGCCAAAGTCAATTAACTGTCAGATGAAAAGCTTTGTTTGCGAATCACGCTCCGAACATGTTCGGAATTGATTCATGATTGTCGTAGAGTGCATGATACGGAGTAGAGTTAATGGAGTTTACTCTAAAAAGTTCAAGTTGCCTTAACATGTTAGGTGGTGGTGAGGATTATCAAGAATCTGCTCTAAATCCACTCCAGGTTTCTATTCATATTTGCTAAACCTACGTTTTGAAGAGAATACAGTTTCCCATTTCAAATTAGTGTCCATTTTTATTTAGAGCAGATCGAGCAGGTAAAAATGAAAACCGTTCAAGCAGAATGCCAATATGACAGTTTTGACATAGCATTTGGCTGAAATTGAATTTTTTGGGTTCATTTTTGAGCTGCCTCTAGGCATCAAAATACTTTCTTTTTTTGTTTTTTGTAATTATTTTATCAGTTTTCCCCTTGAAAATGTAAAAAAACCTTAAAACATGTTGAACCAAGTGAATATCGAGGCCGTCTATTCGGCCACCTATGTGGAAAACTATTTAGATTGTGTGGAAAACTTTCCTAACGAATTGCAGAGGCTTATTTCTCGTATGAGAGAACTGGATGTTTACTATTTGGGTAAGAAATTTGAGAATTATATACAAGAAAGGCCATAGGACATAAATAACTAAATACAAATTATCTCTGAAAGTTGCCAGGGTTATAATAACAAACACTGAAATTTCTGCTTGCAATGTTTATAATTTTTCTTTGTCCCCTTTTCAGCTAGAGTTCGGGAAGTTCAGAACCACCAGAACAACATCAGAGAGTGCCAGAACAGGGTGAAAAAAGAGAAAATGTTCAAGCGTATGCAACAAGCTCTGATTGCCGCCCAGGAGTTGGGCGACGAAAAAATGAACCTTCTGCAAAGTATTCATGACAAAATTGAACTCAAAACGAGAGCTTTGGATCAGGATTTTAAAAATCTAGGTAAGTTGGATCTTTAAGATTTTATTCTACTCTGTATTCTTATTATTACTCGAAATTTCCAATAAGTTATTTTATCTGGGCTCCACTTATTTTCAAGATTTTAAATAACAGATTCCTTGTCTTTGGATACCAAGGGATTAATGGCCGTTTCCACCAACTATTTTAGGGAAGTCTATGATAAGTATTCCTTAAAATGACAGTTTTCCATGGAGAAATGTCGCTTTGAAAAATACTTATCGTTAAGGCTTTCCTAAAATAGTTAGTGGAACTGGGTGGAAACGGCCATAAATCAAGGATTAAAATTGAATTTTATCGAAAGGTAGCAAACAAAAGCATAATTTGATCACTTGTCATTGTCAAAAGTTTGTTTACTTTTGTCAAATTGATAAATTTAAGGTCAATTTACATTATCAAAATTGACATAATTTTGTAGTTTCAACTTAACTTTGTTTGTTCAGGGCTGAGATCGTATTTTCGAATTGATTCGAGTACATTTCGTACACGAAATTTGACTGACAGCAATGTAAATTAAATGGGGAGCATTCGAAATCGTATCAAGTTTCGTATGCGAGAATATTCAAAAATACGACCCCTGGTTTCTCAATAGCAAGTCACCCCCAGATGAAGCATAACTCCAGGGTAAACATTGCAACCCTCAGATTATAATTTGTGACTGCATGACTTGAAACTTGCCCTTAGTCCTAATTTGTGGTATTTTATGGCCATTTCCACCAAACTATAACTAAAGCCGGCTACACACGGTCCGGCAGGCCTGTCAGTTCGAACTGAACAGTCCGACTGAAGGCCGGTCGCCTGAGCGTGTTTATATTCCAGACGATCTGTCAGTTAAGACTGTTCAGGTGGCCGGAGAAAAATCAAAAATATGTTCGTTCATCCGGCCGGCCTCACGTACCCAAAGGCAAGTCTGAACGTGTGTATGGCACTGTCCGCCTGTCGGGCCGCTGGGCTATCATTTCACATAGTTTCAGTAGTGAGTAGTGAGCTTACACCATGTCACGCGGAATAGAAAACAGGTGTTTGGCGGAATTTATCGCTATTTATCATGGCGAGTCGTGCCTGCGGCAAGCCAAATTGAAAAACTTCCACAACCATGGCAAGAAACTGGTAGAAAAATGGAAGGAAATCGATCTTTCTTGTACGGACTCTACTGTTTTCACAAATATGTATACTAGTACCAAACCAAAAAGTGCTTATAACGCGTCGTCGTCAGTAGAGGCCGTGATGATTGAAACTGAAGAATCAGATACGCCTGAACATTTGTAGGGTCATCAGTCCATCCGGCAACCGGCCTTCAGGCGAACTGTTCAGTTGAAACTGACAGGCCTGCCAGACCGTCTGTAGCCGGTTTAAGCTTTGATCAACTACGAAGCCCTTGAGCCATCTTGAATTTTTGACATTACGCTGCCGCTACGGCAAAAAGTTGGGTTTTGTTGAACTTTTCGGCGTAATCGTGGCAAAGTTGTGACGTAATATATGAGGTGAGTTCAGCTTGGCAGAACGCAGTTGGAGCGGATAAAGAGCAGTTTCATAGTAACCTGAACACAGAGCGAAAAGAGTAAAATGGTTAGTCAAACGCATTAGGAGCAAGGGAGCCGCGGCCAATGAAGAATTGCCGCGACCATGCGGAATGCTTATCCCCATCACAAACCGGAACATGTTTTTCTGCGGATATTTTGAGGAGCGATGCCATTTTTTCTACCAGGATCCCCAGGGGGCAACCAAGCCCTAAGCAAAAAAAAATCTTTTTTGAATTCTTTAGGTTAGGATCGTTAGGATAGTGAATTATTGAAAACCTAAATTTTACCGCCTTTTAGGAATATAGGAAGTGCGCATGCTCGCTTCTCGAGCTTCATCTCGCGAGGTGGAGCTTATGGATATGGAGTTAATTATTTTCACTCTACTTGGCTGTACAAAAACTATGTAGAGCTTCCACTATTTGCTCCCATTAGCCTGACCTGAACGATTTTGCAGTGAAAAGTGTCAAAGGAGTCAAAAGAGTTGCCAAGCCGAACTCACCTACTCACCTATGATAGAAAAATCACAGAAAATTAAAGGAAAAGGACTACAATAACAAATAAGTAAATTTTCATTACAACCTGGCAAAAAATAAACAAGATACTTGTGTTAGAAAATGTTTTTGTTGTGGTTTTGATGCACTACACTACATGCGGGATGTTAAGCCAAAATTCGCGTAGAATTGACGTTCACGCCGATTGCGCTAACTACGCCCGTGGGGATTCGCCCTAAAAGTTAAGGGACACTCAAATATAGTTTCGTTCCACCATAGTTTTTGAGTGCAAGCTTAACTTATTGCGTTTCCGATTGGTAGATTCAGTGCGCACTGAGTGTATTTGCATCCTTTTAATCGACCTGTAGAAGAAAAAGACAGTAATAAAAAAAATTGTACTATAGTTCCGCACTAGATCTACCAATCGGAAACATCATAAGTGTCGTAAAGCTTTGGCAACAAGGCATTATAAGTGAAAGGTGTGTGTACTTTTCGTTTTCACACTAGTCGTGTCAATGGTATCTGTCATTCGACGCTACCTGCTAACTTTTAAAAAATTATAATTATTAATAATATTAATGTCTCGATTAATGTAATAATAGTTATTGCTGTTGTCCGGGTTCGGTTTATTTCATTTATTGTCATAGAGAAGAGGTTTAGATATTGGTAGTTTATCCTGCACTGTGTGTGAAAGGTAAAATTGTAATTTATAGATTGTTTGAAGGAAATAAATGATTTTCAAAAAAAAAAAAAATAATAACACAGAGGTGCCTAGAGCAGCGTGGAGTCGGAGAATAGAAAAAAAACTCGGAGAGTTTATCCAAAAAAAGCTAGACACCAAACTGTACAATAAAGGAAAAAGAGCTGCTAATATCACCAGCATCAAAAAATTAGAACATAATCGAAAATTACAAAAAGAAAACAGAGGGAGTATCGGAGTATAGGATTTGGGAGAAGAAAGAACGTGAACTATACTTTATTTTTTCCCAAGATAGATTTTGACATTGAAAACTTTGAAACATAAACAATAACGCTTGACCCTAATTGGTCGCAAAATGAGGTGTTTCTGCAGGTTGACATCAGTTTTACAATAGCGACCAATAAGCGGCATTAGTGGTTATGTTTCAAAATTGACAATGCCAAAATCTAGCTTGGAAAAAAATAAAGTATAGATACGCCAGAAATTAGAAAATTGAAAAAGTTTTAATTTCATCCCAAATCAATTTCAACGTTTGGTTATACATATTAACAAAAACTTGTTACGCAAATTGCTTGCCCTTATCATCGCCACTTTGTTAAGGGAGGAATAAGCCTAGAAATTTCTGGACTTATCTTAATGAGACTAGGTTAGACTGGTGGAAAAAAAATTATGATATAAGCGGCACTTAATGTTAAGTAAACTTAAATTTGAGTTGGTGGAAACAGCCATTAGTTTGTCATTTATACTTGAACAAGTGTTGAACAAGTTGTCTTTAGCCTAGTCCTCATAATCGCGAATTGCGAAATTTTTTTCTGGGGAATTGTTCCTATTGATCCAAATTATTTGAAATTATAATGGCGGAAAAATCTCGAGATGTTTTCAACTCGTGCGGCATCGCAAAAAAATTGAAATAATTTAACTTTTTAATGAATAATCTGGGAAGAAGTGAGGTTATGCTAGTTTATTCGCCAAAAAGTTAAATTATTTTTAACTTTTTTGCAATGCCCCAAGAACTTGAAAACATTCGCGAGATTTTCCCGCCATTATAATTTCAAATAATTTGGACAAATAGGAACAATTCCGCAGAAAAAAAGTTCGCAATTATGAGGACTTAGCTTTTCAATGACATACATACTCTCTCTTTGACACATTGACCAGTGTTGCCAATAGTATTTTTTTAATTCCGTCAACTTTACTGTAGATTTCTGTCAAAAATCCGTTAAACAATTTTCTTTTCCGTCAATAAAATCTGTCAGAATGAAAAATGCGAAATGCGCTAAGCCTTGTACTCATAACTGCGAAATTCGTACTTTTTTGACATTGTTTCGACAATTTGACGTTTAATTCACGCATAAAACGTCAAATTGTCGAAGCAATGTCAAAAAAGTGCGAATTTCGCAGTTATGAGTACTAGGCTCTAAACAAATAAAATGTATTCAGTAGGATCAACCAAATCATGCAGAGTTAACGACATTGACGACAATGCCATTTGATTTTAGACGTTTTTAGAAACACTGATCCAATTCATCTGATTATCGGCTGTTTGTAAAGTGTGTTTTTTTTAAAAAGATAATTCCCCAAGTCAAAAATTTAGTAACTATGTTGGCAACACAAGCCTTTTCTACATAAAAAATTTGAAAGCATTGACAATTTTATGCCGGTTTTCCACCAAACGGACTGTTGAGTTTTTGTTTTAAAACATGTTTTAAAACTCGAAATTAACCCGAAAAACAAAACTCCAAATGAGCAAAACACGCTAATCTTGAAAATGTTTGGGAAAAGTTGGAGTTTTGTCTGAGTTGTTTTGTTTTTGTTTTGTCGGTTTGGTGGAAAACCGGCATAACATTGTATTGCCAACATAATGTCATTTTGACTTTTATCTTTAAAAAAAAAACAGACTTTATTTCATCCTTTTTCAATAAAACCATTGAAAAAAGACAAGATAACATCAGCTGGTGATCGGGCTAGTCAGATCAACGTAAAGGCTTGTTTACAGACCAAAAGTAGCTTGAATCGCTAAACAACCAGTTTATTACATTTATAGAACATAATTTAAAATTTTTAAACGGAAACTTAGTTCCCATTAAAAAATCCGTCACCCCGTAAAACTGTTTTTTTTTCCGCTTCCCTTCGCCAAAATCCATTAGATATGACGGGAAATCCGCTAAGTTGGCAACGCTGACATTGACAAAAAAAGTCACTTTCATAGACGTTGTCAAACATTAAATTTTCTCTGACAGATTTCGGCAAAGAAGAACCAGTAAACCAGGCCAACGATCAAAAAGAGTCGGTTCCGCCGCCGCCTGCCGCCACCAATAACACCGCGACGCCTCCCAATAACACCCAGGAGCGGCCAGTCAAAAGACCTCGCCGGACCAGAACAGAGCGCGACCTCTACACAGCTCCTGCCGAGACCAATCAGAACGAACCTGTCACTCCTGAGCATTCGTTGCGTAGCAGTCAAGCTCCCGCTGTTGCCAGCTCTACAGCTACTGGGTCCACTCAGAAGAAAACTGCAACTGGTAAAAAAAAAAATTTACTTAAAGAAGGAGGCGCAATTAACATTGAAAATAGGTCTCCGTAAATTTCAACCAAATTTCAATATTTTAAAGGTATCATCATTGCAAAAAAAAATGAAATGTAATGAGGATCGTATGTCTGTGATAACAGATATAGCTCATCAAAGTACGTAGGTCCTGCTATGCTATGCATAGGAAATATTCAAGGAAATATCCCTACGTAGGTTTTCCTGAATATCTCGAAAAATACTAATTTGATTTTGACCTTTTTGGAGTTTGATACCTACAAAAGGACCCCAAAAACGTCAAAATCGGATTAGTATTTTTCGAGATATTCAAGAAAATCTACGTAGAGGTATTTCCGTGGATATTTCCTATGCATAGCATAACAGCACCTAAGTACTTTGATGAGCTATATATGCTATCACAGACATACGATCCTAATTACATTTCAATTTTTTTTTTTTGCAATGATGATACCTTTAAAATGTTGAAATTTGGTTGAAATTTACGGGGGCCTATTTTCATTGTTAATTGTGCCTCCTTCTTGAATCAATTTTTATTATTGAAAATCTTTTGTAGGCAAAAAGAAGAAACGCAAAGCCCGCCAGAGCCATCAAACGCAAAAAGAAGATTCCCCGCCTCCCGAAGAACCAGTCATCGATCCAGATGAGCCCACTTATTGTCTTTGCGATCAAATTTCGTTTGGGGAAATGATTATGTGCGACAATGATCTCTGTCCTATAGAATGGTTCCATTTCTCCTGCGTGAGCTTGACTACTAAGCCAAAGGGCAAGTGGTTCTGTCCCAAGTGTCGCGGCGACAGACCAAACCTGATGAAGCCCAAGGCACAATTTTTGCGGGAGTTGGAAAAGTACAATAAGGAAAAAGAAGACAAAACATAATAATATATAGTTTGGTTTTGTTTTGTGGCGTTTGAATTTGTGCTTCTATTGATAAGTTTAACTTGGTTTATTAAATACTTTTTCGATAGACTTTGTTTTTTTTACTGGCTTGCCAAATATGAATGATTATTTTCTGAGAAATCCAAAATTGAAAATCATCACATCAACACTTTAAATATTCAGAATAATAGATTTTGATTGGTTTACCTCACATCACAACTCAACGTTGCCAAATCAATCTCCATAATTGTACTGTACTAAAAAATATGTTATCAGCGTTATCCGACTGTCATTTTATTCCTAGATAGAGTTGTACTATTTCAGATACTTAGAAAATTGGAAAAAAAAACGTATTTAAAATAAACTTCTACCAAAAGAAATTTCTGCGTTGTAATACAATACTTTAATTTCTCGCATTTTTATTTATGATTGACAAAGTTTTTGAGGGTTATTGGAATAGTTTTAGTAGGGTTTTTGTGTTTACTTAACTAAACAAAATTGTATATTTGTTTTCCAACATTGAAAGTTTTCCAAAAATGACACTGAGACAGTTATTGCTTCACAACTCCCTTAATTTTCATCAGATTTGAATACAATTAAGCTCTAATTAAAGCCAATTAAATTCTCTAGAAACCTGTTATAAGATTTATCACATCACACCTGGGACATCCTGGACAACCCTTCCTTTCAACCCGCAAACGCCTATAGGTCGACCTGCGAAAAGGGGTTGATTTGCGACAGAATAAACAAGGAGTCGGCCAATGATTGTTTTTCTGTTGTTGTAGAAAAAAATTGTTTAGTTTCCATAAATGTAGTAGAAGTTTTAGATTGTAAAAACAGTTTTGCAGCTAAGAAGCTTCAAAATTGAAAATATCGAACAGTGATATTTTTCCAAAAATGACACTGAAACAATTTTTGCCTCACACCTGCTGTAATTTTCATCCGATTGAAACGCAATTACGCTCAAATTGAAGCCAATTAAATTCTCTTCAAAGCTGTTAATTAAAATTCCATACCATATACAAATGTTATCAGAATAATTTAAACAAAAAACAACAAAAACGTATATAATTTATAGACATTTATTTTTGAATCAAATACATAAATAACATAAAATTCCATATTATGGCAGTATAAAAAAAAGTGGGGGTGCATAAATAAAGAAAAAAAATATATATATATAAATCCATCTCCTTAATAATAAATAAGAATTATGGCATAAATAAACGATCAGTCAAGATTTAAATTAAAGTAGACAAGATTTTACCATTTAGTTTTTTTTTTGATACAGAGAGCATGTGTGATCTACTGAGATCAATATTTTATTTACAAAAATTGTTCTCTAACAACGCCATTCTATAAGCGAAAAATCTCACTATTAATAATTATTATGATGTACCTAATATGTGGTGCTATAAATCTATAGAAGGGGTACTATTTCTATACCACACGTGTTAACTATTATTACTAAACCCAAACCCCATGAGGATTCTTACTTGTGGGCACAGCATTTTCAAGTTGCCTAGGTGACCCAATCATTTTTCTGGTAGAAGATCGTGGTGGGCCTTCCATAATAAGCCTCAAATCCTCTGGAGGTGGGGCAATGGTAAGACTATGAAGATTAGCTTCTTTCATTTCATTAACCAACTGTTCAACTTGCTTCTTTTTCTCAATAATAGATGTCTCCAGTTGAGCAACTTCTTTTTTTAAAGTTTCAACAGTCAAATGATGCAACTCTGAGCTTTGTTTGGCCAATTCTATGTCTTTTTGAATACGCTCCAATTCAATAAGAATGCCACGCTCCATTTGTATTCTTGATTCTGTTTTCTTTGTGGTCATTCGTTGTTCTGACTGCAACTCGTCAGCCAACAGGCGCATTTTATTTTTGCACTGCAACAATTCAGTCTCGCAATTGGCCAATTTTGAACGTAGCAAAGTGATTTCGGATTTTAGGGTTTTCTCTTGTTGCTTGACGAGTTCGGTTTCTTCTTCCACATAAGCCAAAGCTTGGATTTGGTCTTTTTGAGTTTTGGTATGGTTTGTGATTTTTAACATTTCCTGTGCGAGGTAGTCTAGTTGTAGTTGTTTTTCTTTTTCTTTGCCTTCCCAGAATACTATTTCAGCATCAAACTGTTATAAAATAAATTCTATTAGAATATATTCACAAAATAAACACACCCACCTTAGTAATATCAGCAAACTGACTATTTAACTTTTCCCTTTGATAATTGATCAAAGCAATCAACTCTCTGTATTGAGCATTATAAAGTCCATTCTCTGTTAGTCGAATTTTAGTAACATCCTAAAAAAACCCCAAGTATAAAAAGTTTTTTTTGAGCTCAACTGAAATACCTGAAAAATTTGTTGTTTTTTGGAACTAATCGGTGGCGGTGGGTCTCTGTACGGAGGTGGAGCAGGAGGAGGCGCCACTTTCTTAGGCGAGCTTTGAGGTGAGCCAGCAAATTGTTCTCTGACCTCTAAATGTACAGTTTTGATTGGTTGCTGTACACCTTTGACGACACCCACATTGTCTGGTGGTAGTAAAGTGGGCCTGTTGACTTCAGGCTGCTTTTTGGAAATCGTATTGCGCTGAAGTATGAACTGGACGTCGTTGGAATACTCGCCCCATTTCAGTTGGATTTTCATGGGGTTCTCGTGGGGTGCCAGCTGGCGCTCGTTGTTGCGCCAACGTTCGATTAGTGTGAACCTGCCCGATTTGCCTGTTGCATGCGCTAAGGCAAAGACTACATCCTGGAAAAAAATTTGCCTTAAAATTTTGATAATTTCATTTTTTTTTTCTTGAATTTCATCTTTCCACTACCCATTTGCAAAATTTCAATTCGATCCCTTCACTGCTTTCCTCAAAAAAATAATAATAGGTCTCTCAAGGTTATTTAAAAAAAAAATTGAAATTTAAATATTTTTTTATCGAGATTTTGTATCTTAATGGTCAATCAACATACCCCAAACTCCATACACTAAATTATTCTCAGATTTGAAGCCGAAATCTATGAAAAAAGGCACTCAAAAAAATTGAAAAATTGATAAATCACCCCAAATTGCTTAACACGATTTTATCTCAGGAATTATAAATGCAAATGAGCTGAAATTTTCAGGGATTGTAGTCCTTTGAAAGGGATAAAATTCAGTGAAAGTTTCAGCCTTCTATCTATAATAGAAAAAAAGTTGTGACCTTTCAAAGTTTTCCAAAATCTAAATCATAAGGTAGGTACCTTCTTACTAGAAGGATGAAATCTGAAATTTTTTTTTATCGAGATTTTGTATCCTAACGGTCAATCAACATACCCCAAACTCCATACACTAAATTATTCTCAGATTTGAAGCCGAAATCTATGAAAAAAGGCACTCAGAAAAATTGATAAATCACCCCAAATTGCTTAACACGATTTTATCTCAGGAATTATAAATGCAAATAAGCTGAAATTTTCAGGGATTGTAGTCCTTTGAAAGGGATAAAATTCAGTGAAAGTTTCAGCCTTCTATCTATAATAGAAAAAAAGTTGTGACCTTTCAAAGTTTTCCAAAATCTAAATCATAAGGTAGGTACCTTATTACTAAAACGATGAAATCTGAAAATTTTTTTTATCAAGATTTTGTATCCTAATGGTCAATCAACATACCCCAAACTCCATACACTAAATTATTCTCAGATTTGAAGCCGAAATCTATGAAAAAAGGCACTCAGAAAAATTGAAAAATTGATAAATCACCCCAAATTGCTTAACACGATTTTATCTCAGGAATTATAAATGCAAATAAGCTGAAATTTTCAGGGATTGTAGTCCTTTGAAAGGGATAAAATTCAGTGAAAGTTTCAGCCTTCTATCTATAATAGAAAAAAAGTTGTGACCTTTCAAAGTTTTCCAAAATCTAAATCATAAGGTAGGTACCTTCTTACTAGAAGGATGAAATCTGAAATTTTTTTTTATCGAGATTTTGTATCCTAACGGTCAATCAACATACCCCAAACTCCATACACTAAATTATTCTCAGATTTGAAGCCGAAATCTATGAAAAAAGGCACTCAGAAAAATTGAAAAATTGATAAATCACCCCAAATTGCTTAACACGATTTTATCTCAGGAATTATAAATGCAAATAAGCTGAAATTTTCAGGGATTGTAGTCCTTTGAAAGGGATAAAATTCAGTGAAAGTTTCAGCCTTCTATCTATAATAGAAAAAAAGTTGTGACCTTTCAAAGTTTCTGCTAAATCATAAGGTAGGTACCTTCTTACTAGAAGGATGAAATCTGAAATTTTTTTTTATCGAGATTTTGTATCCTAACGGTCAATCAACATACCCCAAACTCCAAACACCAAATTATTCCCAGATTTGAAGCCAAAATCTATGAAAAAAGGCACTCAAAAAAATTGAAAAATTGATAAATCACCCCAAATTGCTTAACACGATTTTATCTCAGGAATTATAAATGCAAATAAGCTGAAATTTTCAGGGATTGTAGTCCTTTGAAAGGGATAAAATTCAGTGAAAGTTTCAGCCTTCTATCTATAATAGAAAAAAAGTTGTGACCTTTCAAAGTTTTCCAAAATCTAAATCATAAGGTAGGTACCTTCTTACTAGAAGGATGAAATTTGAATTTTTTTTTTATCGAGATTTTGTATCCTAATGGTCAATCAACATACCCCAAACTCCATACACTAAATTATTCTCAGATTTGAAGCCGAAATCTATGAAAAAAGGCACTCAGAAAAATTGAAAAATTGATGAATCACCTCAAATTGCTTAACACGATTTTATCTCAGGAACTATAAGTGTAAATGAGCTGAAATTTGCAGGGATTGTAGTCCCTTGGAAGGGATAAAATTCAGTGAAAGTTTCAGCCTTCTATCTATAATAGAAAAAAAGTTGTGACCTTTCAAAGTTTTCCAAAATCTAAATCATAAGGTAGGTACCTTCTTACTAGAAGGATGAAATTTGAATTTTTTTTTATCGAGATTTTGTATCCTAATGGTCAATCAACATACCCCAAACTCCATACACTAAATTATTCTCAGATTTGAAGCCGAAATCTATGAAAAAAGGCACTCAGAAAAATTGAAAAATTGATAAATCACCCCAAATTGCTTAAGACGATTTTATCTCAGGAATTATAAATGCAAATAAGCTGAAATTTTCAGGGATTGTAGTCCTTTGAAAGGGATAAAATTCAGTGAAAGTTTCAGCCTTCTATCTATAATAGAAAAAAAGTTGTGACCTTTCAAAGTTTTCCAAAATCTAAATCATAAGGTAGGTACCTTCTTACTAGAAGGATGAAATCTGAAATTTTTTTTTATCGAGATTTTGTATCCTAACGGTCAATCAACATACCCCAAACTCCAAACACCAAATTATTCCCAGATTTGAAGCCAAAATCTATGAAAAAAGGCACTCAAAAAAATTGAAAAATTGATAAATCACCCCAAATTGCTTAACACGATTTTATCTCAGGAATTATAAATGCAAATAAGCTGAAATTTTCAGGGATTGTAGTCCTTTGAAAGGGATAAAATTCAGTGAAAGTTTCAGCCTTCTATCTATAATAGAAAAAAAGTTGTGACCTTTCAAAGTTTTCCAAAATCTAAATCATAAGGTAGGTACCTTCTTACTAGAAGGATGAAATCTGAAATTTTTTTTTATCGAGATTTTGTATCCTAACGGTCAATCAACATACCCCAAACTCCATACACTAAATTATTCTCAGATTTGAAGCCGAAATCTATGAAAAAAGGCACTCAGAAAAATTGAAAAATTGATAAATCACCCCAAATTGCTTAACACGATTTTATCTCAGGAATTATAAATGCAAATAAGCTGAAATTTTCAGGGATTGTAGTCCTTTGAAAGGGATAAAATTCAGTGAAAGTTTCAGCCTTCTATCTATAATAGAAAAAAAGTTGTGACCTTTCAAAGTTTTCCAAAATCTAAATCATAAGGTAGGTACCTTCTTACTAGAAGGATGAAATCTGAAATTTTTTTTTATCGAGATTTTGTATCCTAACGGTCAATCAACATACCCCAAACTCCATACACTAAATTATTCTCAGATTTGAAGCCGAAATCTATGAAAAAAGGCACTCAGAAAAATTGAAAAATTGATAAATCACCCCAAATTGCTTAACACGATTTTATCTCAGGAATTATAAATGCAAATAAGCTGAAATTTTCAGGGATTGTAGTCCTTTGAAAGGGATAAAATTCAGTGAAAGTTTCAGCCTTCTATCTATAATAGAAAAAAAGTTGTGACCTTTCAAAGTTTTCCAAAATCTAAATCATAAGGTAGGTACCTTCTTACTAGAAGGATGAAATCTGAAATTTTTTTTTATCGAGATTTTGTATCCTAACGGTCAATCAATGAACATGAACTTAGCGAAACACTCGTCGCCAAACTCAATGGGCATGGGTGGATTATTTGTTGTTAAATTGTTGCTAATTAGTTACGGCAATATTGATTTTGTTGCTCTTTTGAATTTTTTTTTTTGGGTGCTTCGCTAAGTTCATATGAAGTTAGCGAAACATTTCTCCTTAGAACGTCTCTAGTAATAAATTAAATGCATGGAACTTTGTTGCTAATTATTTGCTAATTAGTTACGGCCATTTTAATGGCGGGGAGTAATTATTTTTGTTTTTAAGGGGTGCTTCGCTAACTTCACACGAGCAATCTCATCTGTAGATGACTCACAACCAATTAGAAAATTAATAGGAATTAGTTGCTAATAAGTTGCTAATTAGTTACGGTACCATAGGTACAGCGAATTATTTTTTTCGTATTTACGGGTGCCTCGCTAAGTTCACACATACATAATTACACCACAACGTATCCAAACGATGGGAAACACGTTTTTTATTTTGTTGCTAATTAGTTAATAATTAGTTACTATCATTTAGAATTTGTTACGCGACTCCACATTTGATATTCAATGTCTTTGTCCCTGTCATGGCCGCCAAGTGATTTCAATTTTCTTAAGCTTTCCCTGACCAATTTTATATTTTGTTACTAATTCGATGTCTGCTAATCATACTTTTTTCAACTGCGAAAATTCGTTCTTTTTTGTATTCGTGTGCTTCGCTACGTTTAAGCCGTTTTTATCCGTTTTAAAATCGGATCCGTTTGGCTAGGTAAGAAATACATGTTTCCGTTTCATAAACGGATACAAACGGATAAAAACGGATTCTAAGAATGCGAAGCTTTATTAGTTGTTAGTCACTATTATTCGAAATTTTCCGTATTTTTTTTCCTTTGAAGCTTTTTGAGTATATACTCCTATTGAGTATGGAAAATTGATAGTTTAAATACGGAAACAACTTATAGACTCCTTTTTTTTACTAAATTGCAAATGATTGAATGTCTTTATCATTTCTTTCATCACCTTTTATATTTCTTGAAAGCCAATAGCTAAATTTTACTTTCACAATTACATTAATCTAGATTAAATGGGGGGTTTGTTTTATAATGTGTATCTGGTAATAAATATTTCAACCAATTATTAACGATTACTTTTTGGTTTATTGAGCATTTTAATTTGGTCATCATTATCAATACATAACTTTAGCATTATAACTTTGAATAAATCAATAGTTCAACACTTAAATTATACTCTTCATTAACTACATAGGACTTTGATTTTTTGTCATCGTATCCAACCCAGTTGTTTCGCCACGAGATCGCAATATAATGCCCGATGTCCTCGGTTGATCTGCGAGTGACTGGCGGGCCACGATATTCTATAAC